ACCGGGCTCTTAACGCCGCAACCGTGAAGGACCGTTTCCCGATTCCGACGGTGGATGACATGCTTGACGAGCTGCACGGGTCCTCTTATTTCACTAAGCTCGACTTAAGGGCCGGTTACCACCAGATCAGGATGCGGGAGGAGGATGCACACAAGACAGCCTTCCGGACCCACAACGGTCATTACGAGTACCTGGTAATGTCGTTCGGGTTGTGCAACGCGCCCTCGACCTTTCAGGAAGCTATGAACGACATCTTTCGGCCCCTGCTTCGTCGGTACCTCCTGGTTTTCTTTGATGACATTCTTATTTACAGCCCGACATGGTAGGCCCATCTGCAGCATTTGCAGGCTGTGTTTGAGATTTTGCAGCAGCACCAGTACTACCTCAAGGCCTCGAAATGTGCCTTTGGAGTCCAGAAGGTAGAATATTTGGGGCACATTGTCACACCACAGGGGGTACAGGTGGACCAGAAGAAGATACATGCCATGGTGGAGTGGCCAACCTTGACCACTGTCACTGAACTGCGAGGGTTCCTGGGTTTGACAGGTTATTACAGGAAGTTTGTGCAGGGCTACAGCATGATTGCCAGGCCTTTGACTAATTTGTTGAAGAAAGGAGGGTTTGGGTGGAACGAGGAGGCCGATGCGGCATTCTGTCAGATGAAGCAGGCCATGACCACTACCCCGACTCTGGTTATGCCTGCTTTCTCTCGGCCCTTTGTTATCGAGGCAGACGCTTCTGGCCGGGGCATTGGAGCGGTGTTATCACAGGACAGGCATCCGGTGGCCTTCATGAGTAAGACTCTGGCACCAGCTAAGGAGGCCTGGTGCACCTACCAGAAGGAGATGCAGGCTATTATTACGGCGGTTTAGATGTGGCGACCGTACCTCCTGGGCAACAAGTTCCACATTTATACCGACCATCAGAGTTTGAGGAATTTGTTGGAGCAGCGAGTTTCCACCCCCGATCAGCACAAGTGGGTCTCCAAGCTCCTTGGTTATGATTATGAGATCCACTATCGCCCCGGGCCATCTAATGTCGTGGCAGATGGGCTTTCGAGGCGTCCAGGGGGTGAGGTTTTGGCGGCAGTCACGGGACCAGTACCACAGTTTTGGGACGCTCTGCGCGCTCTTACAGAGACAGATGATTATCTGCAGAGGTGCCGTGAGACAGCAGTTAGCACCGAACCCGGCCACTACTCTTGTCGGCAGGGCCTGGTGTTTTTCCGTGGGCGCGTGGTGCTTCCCCGAGGGTCGTCTTTGGTGACGACAGTGTTACAGGAATTCCATGACTCTCCGTTCGGGGGTCACTCAGGGGTAGAGCGGACACTGAGGAGGATCCGAGCACAGTTTTATTGGCCCCAGATGGGTCGGGATGTGAAGGACTATGTCGCATCTTGTGACACATGCCAGAGAGTTAAGGCATCCCATTTGTGGCCAACGAGTCTTCTGCAGCCATTACCGGTACTAGAGAGGGTATGGGAGGACATTAGTATGGATTTCATCGTCGGGTTGCCACCATCCGGAGGGAAGACGGTCCTGTTTGTCGTCGTCGATCGACTAACGAAGTATGCCCATTTCATGGCTCTGGCCCATCCGTATACCGCTCGATCTGTGGCCGAGCAGTTTGTCTTAGGGGTGGTCCGGCACCACGGATTCCCGCGGTCCATTGTCAGTGACCGGGACTCCGTTTTCTTAAGTCGCTTTTGGCAGGAGGTGTTTGCTTTGGCTCGGGCGACATTACGGATGAGCTCGGCCTATCACCCCCAGACGGATGGCCAGACCGAGGTGGTTAATCAATATTTGGAGCAGTATCTGCGTTGTTTCACCCATCAGCAGCCCCGACGGTGGCTGGTCTTATTGCCATGGGCTGAGCTTTGGTATAACTCTACATACCATAGGGCGATCCAGATGACACCGTTTGAGGCTTTGTACGGGCGCCCACCACCTTCTCTGGTGCGCTATCAGGGGGGCGCTAGTCCAGTGGACGCCGTGGATCGATGGTTAGGAGCACGGGATGAGGCCCTGGATCAGCTCAAGGCTAATTTGGCGGCTGCCAATAATAAGATGAAGCAGTTGGCGGATGCAGGACGACGAGAAGAGGAGTTTGAGGTGGGTGATTGGGTTCTGCTCCGTCTGCATCCCTACAGACAGGCTTCTGTATTTCGGCGGGCATATCAGAAGCTGGCGGCGCGGTATTTTGGGCCGTACGAGGTGTTGCAGAAGATTAATCCAGTGGCCTATCGTCTTCAGCTTCCGGCAGATGCGCGCATTCATTCTACCTTTCATGTGTCCCTATTGAAGAGGTATCGCGGCGCGGCGGATCGAGTGGCGACGACTGCTCCGCCAGTATCGGCGGATGGGGACCTCGAGCTGGTTCCTTTGCAGGTGTTAGACACCAGGTGGGTTAAGAAGGGCGGACGAGTGATCGAGGAAAGCTTGGTCCTGTGGCAGCACATGGAGAGGGAGGACGCCACTTGGGAAGAGACGGCAACCCTTCGGCAGCGGTTCCCGACATTTGACCTTGAGGACAAGGTCACTTCTGATGGGGAAGGGGATGATAGAAACCGAGGGTGAGAGGGGTGAGGGTGGGTCGGCCGACCCGGCTGGGTAGAGTAGGAGTGGCCATTTTGTTATTTTCCATTGAACTCATAAAAAGGGGTTCTGTACACTCATTTGGGAATTAAGCAAGAAATAACAGAAATCCCTATTCCTATCTTTCTCTGATTCTTCCCCAATTCTCTCAAATCCCTAATCTACTTCTTCTCTCAATCCCTAATTCCCTTTCTGATCAACAAGCATCTATCAGTTATTAATCTTTGTAATTGTACTAAAGCAAAATAGTGCTATAAATTTGTTATTTCTGCTAAAAAACACTAATTTGTTTAAAACACTTAGACGTAGGGGTGTGCAACGGTTCGGCCAAACTCATGAGAACTGCGGGTCCATTTTTAAAATATCTTAGTACCAAAGACCAGACCATCATTGTGTTTGGTCCATTTGATCTGATTTGGTCCGGTCCAATTATCGATCGGTCAATATTTTCTTCAATAATTATAAAATTCTTAGGACCATAGTGCTATAAATTTGTTATTTCTACTAAAAAACACTAATTTGTTTAAAACACCTAGGCATAGGGGTGTGCAACGGTTCGGCCAAACTCATGAGAACCGCGATCCATTTTTAAAATATCTTAGGACCAAAGATCAGACCATCATTGTGTTTGGTCCATTTGGTCTAGTTTGGTCTGATCCAATTATTGATTTGGTCAATATTTTCTTAAATAATTATAAAATTTTTAGGACCAATTACCAGATCGTATTATACTTGGTTCCATACGATCCGATCCAAACACTATTTTGGCCCGGTGAGATTCGGTACGGGACTCGACCATTACACACCCTACCTAACCGCCGCTAAGGTGTGCTAAGCGCTAGGAAACTCCCTTCTTGAACCTTGATTTTCATTAGCACCATGAGTTCTTCGGTAAACTTGATAATTTGTTTTAACTGTATAAGTTATGTTTCTTGAGTGCATCTATACCAGTTTATCATCCTCTATAGTGCTAGTAGAGAGAGAGATTCCCATGATATGGTGTTGATCTATTTCATTGAGAAGCTCCTAAACCTTCTCAACATTCCAGCTTCTCAAGTTTTGGTACATAAGCGATTCCCCCCTCAAATCAGGGTAATGTTGCTAGTCATTGCTTGTGATTTGTTACCCTCCGCCATCTGACGCTCCAAACTCTTACAGTCATTCCATTAAAAAAAAAATTTAAACGATTTTTAATAATGCAAAACTATTATCGATATTTAATAAAACATTTCCCTTGTTTTTATTATTGGATCTGTAAATATTATGGTATCCCAATCCCTAAATAATTTCGGTATCCCAATCTCAATCCCTAAATATTACGGTATCCCAATCGGTACTTCGGTATCCCAATCGGTATTATCGAATACGAAATTAATTATATTTGAAATAAATAATTAAATATATAAACTGGATTTGATTGTTTAATTTAGTGCAAAGAGACTTGAGTTTTCCTAGAACTAGGATATGGATAACGAGAATGAAGGGAGGTGACATCTTAAGTTCTTGTCATTGGTAATCTTTAATTTGACCAATTGAAAACTGAGAGTCCACTAATACTAGTGTTTGCTTTTTGGTGTTATGAAAATAACAAGTTATTAGGTGAGAGATGAGAGTGACTTAAATTGGAAAGTCAAAACTCAAAATTGAGTTGGATGTGGACTTTTTAGATGTGAAACAAAGATGAAATGATCTATGTATAATTAAATCCCTAATACCGAATTACAATAAAAATTCAATCCCAATCCCAATCCCAAAAAATAATATGTGTATTCGGTAATACCAAATATAGACAAATTCGGTACGGTATTCGGTATATCCCAAATACCGGTACCGAACTTCCAGCCCTACTCATGAGTAACGAAATCTGAACTTTTGGATTTAAGTGGACCCAGAAAATCTAGATCTAAGGGTTGTGAATTAAATGTAGTTTCTTTTCATTAGTTTTCTTGATCGGCTCTAATCTTCTTCGTTCTAATTCGGATTTCAATTTTTTTGCATAGAGAGAACGGGTTCATTGTGCTCTACAAAACGAGATCAATTTTCAAAAAAAACATTTAGAAGTTTTTTTCATACCTCTCGTTACCAACTCCATATCATATGGTATCTCCTTCGTTTTTAAGTCTCTTTTGAAAATATTTGCACAAAAGTAACGAGTTCAACATGATCTATTGAATCTACAAATTTCTGAGTGAAAAAAATACATGACCAAAAAATATCATATTAACCCTGCTATGCGGGTGGTAACTTGTGGTACACAATGATGAAAATCGTAATTACAGTTAGTATACTCCTACTATCATGTATTCAACCATTCTAAAGTCTTTGTATGTTCAGACCACCATGGTACGCTTTCATACCATATGGTATGCTTTAATTTAATACCAATCAATATCATATGGTATAAACTCGTAAAAAATGTCTTAATTTTTTTCCTTAAAATATATCAAAGTTGATATCATTTTGAAGAGCACAATTAATTTGTGAAAAAATTTAAATTCCGATCTAAAACGAGAGAGAAATCATCCGTTAAATATTAAAGAGAAAAATATTAAAGACTTTCCATAAAATAGAGGATGCTAATGTCACGATGATGTGTATAGATTACTCACCGTTACTTATACTAAAGTTGCTGACCTGATCTGAAGCCATAATTTTTTAGTAACATTCAACTATGTTCTCTTTTCTTTCCTTCCACGTTAATATCAGCTTCTACTCAAATTTTACATCTCAAATAAACAGACTGCACAATGACTTAGATTGATTCGATCAACCAGCCCGGTTGGGACAGACCGCAATATTAAAAAGCTCATCACAACTCTGTCTTAACCTCAGTAAACTCACCACTGTTCCAGTCTGTGGCCGATTCCATAATAGCAGAGACGACAGTTCCCCCATTGTATCCATCCATCAACAGCTTCCCTATTTTGGACCTCCACTCCAACCTCTCCTTCTCGCTCTTCCTGTCGTGGACTACCCTATCGCAGTAGTTCAGCATCGTTCCTAACCCGGTATTCGGTGTCCAACCATACTGCATTAGCACCTTCGCTTCCCCCTCACTCAAGTCTTCTCCAACCTTCAAGATTCAATAAGAACACGGATTTCCCAACTTACAGACCAATACAAAATCAAGCAGAATCAAAATTCCCCTTCTGGATTTAAAAAGTATCACCATGAGAAACAGCAGTTTCCTTAACGACTCTTGGCGGAAACTGAAGTCATGTTTAAAGGGACAAAGTGAAGTATCTGACCTTTAAGGGTTTGTTCTCAATTAGCGTAATTCTTCCACACCCAGTGAGTTTCATTGCAGTTACTAAGCGCTTGATCTGCCACTGGATTGGCCGTGAATCCACCAGCTCAAAGAAATATGTCGCATAACCATACTCAGGACGCTCAAGCACTATCCTGCAATTTGTCCACGCATTACATTAAGTACTTGCCAATCATTAACAATACGATGGGCTTTCACCAGTTCTATTATATTTTATTTATTATGAAATCCGAAAGTTGAATTTCGGGTCACCTATTATGCCTCTCAAAGACGAATATGAATGATTGGAGATCTCTGCACCAGCCCCATTGAGCAGGCCAATCACGGAACTGAAGATACCTAGCCTGAAGGAAACCAAACCATTAGTATCTCTTATGATCAAAATTGACCAACACCAGTTCTCCGATCACCATGTTCAAACTATACAGGAAAAGAAAGTTGGTTTTACCTGCTCCACAAGAGAGAATAAGCATGATAAGCAATAACTGGGCTTTGCAAGGTTTGCAGCACGTATTGGAGCAAGCTTTAGCAGGAAGTTCCGCTGGAAAAACAGCTGGCAGTGAAAAGGGAAAGTGTAAGCAGAGATAAAGAGATTTGGGAAAGAAAGAAACAAAGAGCAGAAATACCCAAAAACAAAAGAACAGGATGGGACGAAGTTACAGAGGGTGGATGTGTTAATTATAATGTTGCCGAAGGCTAGACAAAAAGGCGATCAAACAAGAAAGAAAAAAATTATGAAACGAAGGTCGAAACACTTTCCACCAAATGCCGACAAGCAACAAATCACAAAGTTAGACCAACCTTTGTCATAACATCTTCAAGATCTGCAAACCCATCTTCAATGAATGATTCATCGATGGGTTCATCATCACCATCGGCCACTCCATAAAGCTTCATTTCTTCAACCGATACTCCTTGTTCAACAAGTACCTGTCAACCAAATTTCGAATTCGAAGAATATGAGCAAGTGTCAAGAGAATCATACACAAGGAAATGTACTAGAAGTTTCATAGCCCACTTTTAGAAGTCCTGGAGCATCTTCCTCAAGAGCTGTCTCAACAGAGTCCCTGGAAATCATATCAGCAAGAAACAAACCCAAGAAATTTTGAGCATCAATTTGCAAACAGAAAGGTTTATAACTTTCAGACCAATGAGCATCTGATAATGCAGAAAAGGAAATAGTATATTACGTGGCTGTTTTCTTTCGCTTACGCATACGATTGATCTTTATTGGGTCTGGAGCTTCTGTAGGCAAAGGATGATCACCTGATTCTGATCGAATTGCTTTCCTGGAGGTACTGAAATACCCAGAGGGTTTTGATGTAGAATTACCATTTGCAGCTTGGAGCTTCATCCTGTCTTGTAATTGCATGTGGTCCAAGTCCAAGTCGTCCCCATGAGGTCCTTTGGGGCTGTCCAGTTCACTTTTCAGAGGAAACATGTCCAAGGAAGTCAAATCTGGCTTGGTTACTTGAATATGATCCAATGGTTCCGACTTGACTATGACTGAATCCAAAGGATTTGAGCTAGGAGTATTACTTGCGCTGGCAGGTGCACAGCCCAACCCGTCAAGTGAATTTACAACCATAGCAGATCCCTGAGATGAACATAATCAGCACCGGTGCAAGAGCAAGTGATATTATGAACAAGCAATTTGCATTTAACTTTGAGCCGATACCATATAACCATATTACTTTCCTATCCAAACAGATGAATATGAAATATCATGATAAATCAAAAGCTTTCACAGCTGGAAAATAAGGGGACATCAGCCTGAAACTTTAGTCTCACTAACATACTTTGTTTGTGTCCAGAATTCATTAAGAAGAACAGTCCAGCACCCTGAGACTGACACAAATCTCCAGCTTGAGGACCCGAAATCTAATGTGTTGTGAATGAAAAGAAGTCTGAAAATCTTAAAGCTCACATGGCCACTGTTGTATAAATCTCAGTGAGGTACTAAAAATATTCTACAGCTTAGGTATAAGATCAGACACAGAGAAGCGATTTTGACTCCACATGATTAAAGCAAAGCAAAAGGATGGAACTTTACAATAGAAGAGGCTTGCAGTGAATTACCTCTGCGGATATCATTACAGGCTTCAGCATATTCCTGTAAAATAATAAATAATAACTGTGTCAGATGACAGGGCACATATTTTGCTGTAGTTGTGAGGGGTTTCTTGCTACACAAAACTATATACACTACAGAAAACAGCACCTTGACAGGAGCAGCATTCTTTGCCGTTCTTTCAGTACAATATGGTCAAGGTCATCTGCAAAATCAGAGCTACTACTACATCCCGAGTCCAAACGTCGCAAGTCAAAACCAGCAGCGGCAGTAGCACCATTTTGGTTTGCACTACGGGAGTCATTGGCATACCCCATCGCTACTGTGGGAGCTTTTTTAAATTTCAGAAAGTCTTCTTCAAAGTTACAGGTACTAGTACCAAAATCTTCAGCTCCAACTTTAGCATCAACTTCAGTATACGCTGCATGGATTGAACGCATATCAGAATTCAGCTTATCGCACTCACTCTCGTCGTCTCGCTGCATAGCCAAGTCTTGGCAACAACCAGCTCTAGGGGAATGCTGACTGGCAACAGACCTAGGAGGAACTACTAAATTAACTTCCTTCTCCTACTCTGAGTCCACTCTTTCATCATCTCTCCGTTCATTGACAACGGAATGAGCAGGAAAGGAAGAAGTTCCCTGCAAGAAACACACACCGTTGTGATCATCTACAAATGATCATGCCAGATTCATCTCTTCCAGGAATCCAATCGTTCTGATATTTTACCAGCTCGTCTAGATGAAAATGTAAAAAAAGGACATGGTAACAATATCAAACTTTCTGCATCACTTGATTCTATCTCCTCCAAAGCCACTGTTTCCACTCACTAGTCCTTAAATAAGTTTCTAAATATTAAGATTTCCAGCCACTAAACAACTAATTTCATTCCTGCTAACAGAGTATCAACACCCAAATTCCCATATTTTCCACCACAAAAGTAACCCGCCTAGACAACAATCTCTTCATAATTAGAAGAAGTATCAAATCAGAAAATCCGGCACTTGGCCAACAAGAAACAGAGAAATTGAAATGGGACTTGGGACGACGGCATTTGGTTTTGTATATGACTCAGACTGAAAGAAAAGGCTCCATCTCCATCCTAACATTCTGATTTGATTTCTATGCAAGACTTTTTCCTTTCCATTCTAATAAACAATAACAATTAGACACCATCGAAACAGAGACGATATACAGAAGCTAACCGTAGACGACGCCATAGAACCAAGTCTGCTGCTGCTGGAGTAGCCTGCCCGACGAGGTGTAGTTCTCCTACGCTCCTCTTCGACAGTCGCAATCCGCAGCGGCTATATGCGCGTGTAGTCGGAGATTCCAGGCGTCCCCGGCGCCGATATTTTCAAACCAAGGGCTTCCGAGAGCCAATTGGATGGTAATAGTAGAGGAGCGAAGCGCCTAGATGGGATGGCGGGATTGAGCACTTCAGTTCAAGGCACTGATGAAGTGCAAGAGAATGGCTAAATGGGAGAAGGAACAAATCTTCAAAATCGATTCTCTGAGAGGCTGGCCGACAGACAGAAAGTTTATTTGTTTCTGGGAAGCGCAGTTTTGGATTGATCTTCGTATCTCGTGGAGGCCCCAAACATGGATTCGGGCCGAAACCATTGGCAACCTTTGATTCGTACCCGGTCCGCAATCTTGGTCTTCGTAATTCACTCAGGGGTCGTTTGGAAGTTGCGATTGTTAAGTAGATGTATTGTTGAGAATGCATGTATAATATTATACATGTATTGTCGAATTTGATGCATTGTAGAATACAACGTTTGGTATGTGTGATTGTGTATGTTGCATCAGCTAAAAACTGAGACAAAACAATCTCAACTCAACAATCTCAACAATCACAACTAAAAGTTGAGATATAACAATCACTCAAAATGAGTGATAGTTTCTGTCCCATCACAGAAACAATCCATGTATTGTTTCTGCTAAAAAAAAAAATGATGCATTGTAAACAATCAATGCATAATGACAATCTCAACAAAACTATCACAACTTCCAAACGACCCCTCAGTCTCACAAGTCACAACCAACACATCTCCCAACAAAACGAGATTGTTGCTCCAAAACGAGATTGTTGGCAGTTCAAGTTAGGATGTATAATCGTTGCATAACTAAATTTGGACTTTTAGGGTTCGTTTGAAAGTTATGATTTTAAATGAATGATTCTTTGAATTCGTGTATTTTGGAGAATTCATCATTTTTTGTCCTAAAACTTTATTTAACACATGCATTTGAGGTGGGCCTTCAAATCTCATATCACCCACAATCACTCATTTTGAATCTCAATAAAAATGTGAGTTTTTTTTTTTTTTTTTGTTGAGATTGTGGACTTTAATTTGTTCCACTTTTAGCTCATAAAGTGATTTTTTCTTTCTACCAAAAAAAAAGTGATTTTTTCTTTTCTTCCATTTTTTTAATTGCTACAAACAAACGAGACATTTCTTACAATCTTAGTATTTAGAATACATATGTTCATCGAATACACATATTTGAAGAATCTCAACCTCCAAACAACTCCGAAAGGTCCAGAAAGGTCCAAATCAAAGGGTTGTGAATTAAAAACTTTTTATTTTTCGTAGTTTCTTAATCGGCTCTTATTTTTTCGTTCTAATTTGGATTTTTTGTTTTTTGCACAGATGGAAAGAGTTCGTTGTGATCTACAAAATGATATTCATTTTCAATATATTTCGAGAAATGGTTGTGAAAGGTCCAGAAAGGTCCAAATCAAAGGAAAAACTTTTTATTTTTCGTAGTTTCTTAATCGGCTCTTATTTTTTCGTTCTGATTTGGATTTTTTTTTCACAGATGGAAAGAGTTCGTTGTGATCTACAAAATGATATTCATTTTCAATATATTCCGAGAAATGGTTGTGAAAGGTCTAGAAAGGTCCAAATCAAAGAGGAGGGATTGCCGAGGTTTCGGGTCCGACTCGGCAATGGATCATCTAAGGGACTTGCAACGATCATTCAAGCCAATGATCATTTTTCTAATGGAGACTAAGCTAGCTGAAAAAGATATGGATAAAGAAAGAAGAAGAGCTAAATATGCTAACAAATGGTATTATAATCCTATTGGAACAAGATGAGGGTTAGCTCTTTGGTGGGTTAAGGGGTTAGATATTAATGTAGTAGATCATTCGGAGTATTTTGTTCATGCTTTTGTCAATTTTAAGGGGTTTTTTTCAATTACCTTCCTCCATGCCCCTAACGGTCCTGTAGTTAGGAGGGCCTTTTGGGAGGAAATAGGTAGTCTCTAGCCAATCAATGATAGTCCTTGGATCCTCTTGGGTGATTATAATGCGGTGTTAGATGACGCCGAAAAAGAAGGAGGCAATCCTCCAAAGAGATGCTCAACTGAACCTTTCAAGGATTTTATCTTCAATAATGGGCTCATCGACATTGACTTTAAAGGACCAAGGTTTACTCGGTAGAATATGCAACAAGGCCAACGAAAAATTCTTGTTCGTCTTGATAGAGGTCTGTGTTCGCTGTCTTGGAGGGAAGCCTTCACCAATGCAATCATCTTCAATGAACCCATGGTTGGTTCGGATCACTGTCCAATGAGATTGTAGATGATGGGCTGGCAGTCAAATAAGAGAGCTACTTTCAGGTTTGATTACCGTTGGTTTGATTATAATGACTGTGAGTCCATCATAAAAAGAAGTTGGGATAGTGGTGGAGACCATCAATCTAATCTGGCCAAGTGTAGGCGTGAGCTTGGGATTTGGAGTCGGAGTAATGTGTCTAATGCGACAGCAAGAATTAAAATTATTGAGGATCGTCTGAAAGTGATCCTCGAGTGAACTCAAAAATTCCGGTCTATGAAGAAGAAGAGAGGGTTCTGAAGATTGAGTTAAACAAACTGTGGGCGGAAGAAGAAATCTTTTGGATACAACGATCGAGAATTCAATGGCTTGGCAAGGGAGACAAAAACACAAGTTTTTTTTTCCATACCTCCACTATTCAAAGAAGCATTAAGAACAATGTGGTTAAACTTTTGGATGAAGGTGACAACTGGATTGACGAGAAAGGTCCCCTCCACGACCATGTGATGAATTTCTACATTGACCTCTTTAAGAAAAGGGAGGAGGGCTTTAACTTTAATTTTATCCGTGAGATTCCTTGCATGGTGGATGATCACATCAATCAAGCACTCTGCAAACCTGTTGATGACATTGAGATCAAGGAAGCAGTTTTTGATCTAGGCTCCTCAAAGTCACCTGGACCGGACGGTTTTCCTGGGATGTTCTACAGAAGATATTGGGACACTGTGGGTCAACAACTGTGTGATGAAATTAAAGTTTTCTTCTCTGAGGGAAAATGGAGCCAGGATGGAATGATACTCACTTGGTGCTCACTCCAAAAATTCTTAATCCGGAAAGAATCTCTCAATTCAGACCATTTAGCTGCTGCAACTTCAGGTACAAAGTGATATCTAAAATCATGACATCTCGACTGAAGAAATGGATTCCAAATCTTGTATCTGAAATGCAATCAGTGTTCATGGGAGGTAGAGCTATCCAAGATAACATTGTTATTGTCCATGAGGTGATGCATCACTTTAAAACAAGACCGAAAGGTGGGAAGTGGGATATGATGTTGAAGCTCGACATGAAAAAAGCTTTTGACATGGTTGACTGGGATTGTCTTGATGAGATCCTCAAAGCTATGGGGTTCTCACCACAATGGTGTTCGTGGGTCAGAATCTGTGTTTGTTCTTTACGCGAACGCGAATAAAAAACGTAGAATGACATCGGTAATAGGTTGACGTACTTGTGGAGAATCCACACCAGTAAGAAATAGCTTTAGTTGTTGATGGAAGTGACCTATTACATAACCTTGCCCTTTTTTCTTTTATTCCGCTGGGTAGATTCTCAATATTGTTCAATGGCCAACCTTCACCATTCTTCGAGCCATCTAGAGGCATTCGTCAGGGAGATCCTTTTTCGCCCCTCCTTTTCATTTTACTGACTAATGTCTTATCTTTCCTTATCAATAAGAATGTGGATAATGGTGGTATCCAAGGAGTGACCCTAAATCCTTTCTGTCCTAGGCTCACTCATGTGTTGTTTGAAGATGATACGATCTTATTTGGGAAAGCCTCGATGTCCGAAGCAATCAAAATAAAAAATATGATCGAGGACTATGGGAGTATGACAGGACAATTGATCAATAATAATAAATCAGCTATCACCTTTAGCACAAATGTACCAAAGGCCCTCAAGACATTGTTAGCTGATTTCTTGAGCATTCCCCGGTCTGATGGAATGGGAAAATATCTGGGTGTTCCAACGGAATGGGGTAGATCGAAAAAAGAAGTATTTACAGGACTTATTGCCAGAATGGAAAAGTTGGGTCAATCTTGGAAAAGTTTGGCCCTCTCTCAAGCTGGCAAAGAGACTCTTCGCAAGCTTGTTTACCAGAGCTACCCTACTTACTTGATGTCATGTTTCCTCATCCCCAAGGGTACAACAAAAATCATGGATGCTAGGTTGAGAGCCTTTTTATGGGGAGGAAATATGGACAAAGGTACAATCCATTCGAGGAAAGGAAGCGTCCTTACAGCATCTAAATAGGAGGGAGGAATGGGATTTAAGAACTTCCATCAATTCAACCTGGCTCTTCTTGCTAAGCAAGGATGGAGAATCCTTAACGGGGAGAACGAAATCTGGGTTAGTCTCCTTAAAGACCTTTATTTCCCTCATTCTGAGTTTTTGGATGCAGGTAAAGGAAGGAAACCCTCTTGGATTTGGTCAAGTATCTGCGAAGCTAAAGAAATCCTAAAACTGGGGGCAAGGGAAAATATGGTCAATGGGAGGAATATCATTCTTGACAAAGACCCCTGGATCCCAGGTTTACCAGATTTTAGGCTTCAAAATAACCAAAGACATCAACTGAGAGCTTTCGATTAGGTGATGAATGATGGGAACAAATGGAATTTGGATATTATTGAGCAATCCTGTCTTCCAGAAGAAGCTGAGGCAATCAAGAGTATCCCTATTGGTCCAAGTGATACGAAGGACTCATGGGTGTGGCATCCGGAGAAATCAGGGGCCTTTTCTGTTAAGTCTGCCTACCACATTTTCAGAGCATCTGAAAGGACTAGGACCGGTTCTGACGACCCTAACCATCCTAACTGTTCTGTTAAAGCATGGAAGTGGCTTTGGAGTTTATCCCTCCCATCAAAGATCCTCAATTTCATTTGGAGGACCACCAGAAATGCAACGGCAACAAATGGGAATCTTTGGTTCCGGAAAGTGATTAACTCACCTTCTTGCACGCTTTGTGATGGTGATTTCGAGGATGTGTGGCATTGTCTCTTTGGATGCCCCCATGCTATCCTCATCTGGCAGGAGGGATTTGCTTATCTCCCTCTCCCTCCAAGCACCCTCCCGATCCTTATGTGGCTCTTCAATCTTCATGACGTGATTTCTTTCAACTCTTTAGTGGCAGTGGTGGCTCAACTGTGGGCGCTCTGGAATGCTCGAAATGAATGGGTGTTCAAGGATGTTCGTCCGCAGCTTTAAACAACCTCGGCCAAGGCGTTGGGTTTCTTCACTGATTGGATTTCCTGTGAAGCACCGATGGCTTCCTTTTTTCCTCCTCAGCCTGTTCCACCCCGTACAATCCTTAGTCTACCGCCTAATTATTTCCAACAGGAAATATACCGTGATGGAGCTTTCATCTCGGAATCACAGGTGGCAGCTTATGGTGTTGTTGTTCGTAACCATCATTGACAAGTGATTGACGGAAATGCTGGGACCCTTTTTGTTCATCAGCAATTGTCGCGGAAGCGAAAGCTTTATTGGTTGCACTGAAGATGGCTCAAGATTCTGTTTGCTCTACGATTATCTTCTCTGACTGTCAAATCATCATCAACATTCTTCTTGATCGGAGCAATTCTTGGCCATGGCAAGTGAAGGCTGGATCCACTGTATGAAGCAAACTCTTTCTCAAAACGATCATATCAAGGTGGCTTTTACGAACAGAAGGAACAACAAATGTGCTGATTGGGTCGCAAAAGAAACTATGAGGGGTTCTCTTCCTTCTGAGTGGATTCAAATTCTTGACTTGGTCTCCCCTTTGCTGTAATAGGCCATGCTTGTACTTCAATCGTTTGATGAATAAAATCTCACCAATTGTCTAAAAAGGGTTGTGAAAGGTCCAGAAAGGTCCAAATCAAAGGGTTGTGAATTAAAAACTTTTTATTTTTTGTAGTTTCTTAATCGGCTCTTATTTTTTTCGTTCTAATTTGGATTTTAATTTTAATTTTATTTTGCACAGATGGAAAGAGTTCGTTGTGATCTACAAAATGGTATTCATTTTCAATATATTTCGAGAAAAAAAAATTCATACCACTCTTTACCACCTCCATAGTCCATACTATATAGTATCTCCTTCATTTTTAAGCCGATTTGGAAAATTTTGCACATAAGGAACGAGTTCATCATGACCTATTGGATTTATAAGTTTCTTGAAAAAAAAATACAGGACCAAAACACAACCCATACCACCCATGGTATAGGAATGGTATCTTGTGGTACATAATGTTGAAAGTTGCAAATGAAAGTTAGTATATTCCTACTATCATGTATTCAACCATTACACAATATTGTATGTTCATACGACCATGATATACTTCCACACCACGTAGTATGCTCTTATGTAATACCAAACAATACCACCATGGTATAGAGAAGTACTAAATGTCTCAATTTTTTTAATTCAAAAAATATATCAAAGTGGATATAATTTTGAAGAGCACAATAAATCTGATTTATCTATGAAATGAAAAATCTGACTTAAAACGAAAGAGATATAGCACATTAAAATTTAGAGAGGAAAATGTTAGAAACCTTCTATAAATGATAATGTGGCGCTTATGTGGCAGGTTATGCATGGTTATTGACCATAAGGTTATGGAGGGGATTCGCTCCCCTATGGAGCGATTTGGAGAACAAGGGGTGGAGGTTCGACTGCTTTTGTTCTTCTTGATGGTTCAGGTTCTACTGATTTGGCGTCTGCGACCTATTATGATGGAATCAATGATCCATACATTTTGGAGGCTTTGGCTCTTTGAGATTGCCTTGTTGAATGTCATCCCCGAAATCTGCGGGTGCATCAAATTGCAGGGGATGCTAAGTCTATTATTGACTCGATTCATAAAATTGCTGTTCTTTGTGACTACTTGGGTGGCACAAAGGTGGTCTTCATGGGTCGTATTAGTAATAGAGTGGCTCACATAGCTGCTAAATAAGCTCTGTCTTAGACTCTTAGTCGCCTCATGATCAATGAAAGGCATATCTTCTTTTTGTGTCGTCTCATTGATATAAACATTTTTACGTTCTATTTTGGGTACTCTTAAGTTAATAACTTCTCTTGGCAAGTTATTGGTAGCGATCATGGGAATCCTCTTCTGGAACTGTCAAGGGATTGGCCCTATAACAACCAATCGACAGATCGCTGAAACGGTAAGCCGCTACTCAATATACTTGTTGTTTCTAAGTGAAACAAAAAACGAGGATGACTTGGTCAGGGACAAAATTAAAAAACTTGGTTTTAAAGAAAATCGTCTTGTCAGTGCTATTGGCCTATCTGGTGGTTTAGCTGTAGGTTGGTCAAAGGATGTAGATTGTATTATCTGAGACAAACGTCGCTTCTACATTTCCTTAGAATGCCAACATCCAAGACTCGGAAGAGCTCATTTCTTATTTGTTCACCTGAGTTGTGATGTAGGGGTTAGGCAAAATCAACTCAATGAATTATCTGACATTATTTGAACTACACTTCTTCCATTATTTGTCTTCGGGGACTTTAATTGTATCCTGGATAGCTCTGAAAAATCAGGAGGCAGATGCCCTGCTTTTTCTGCCTTTGACCAATTAAGAAATTTTTGCCTCCACTCGGGTTTTAGTGGCCCTAATTTCACCTGGACAAATCGCAGATCGGCTTCTGATCATATTATGGCTAGACTGGACAGAGTTTTAGTCGCCTCTTTGGCTTTAAACCCTTATCCCCTCGCCAAGGTAACCCACCTATTAGATCTAGGTTCGGATCACCGAAAGATTGTGATGCAACTCATCCCACCTCATAATTTGGGCCAGCATCGTTTCCACTTCGATAGCCGTTGGGCAAAAAATTTGGAAGCAAGACAAGCCTTTGCTGACAAATGGGGTAATCAAACCTCTGGTACAAGGCAATTCAAATTTTTCAACAACCTCAAGTCTTCGAGGCACGATCTTGTTGAATGGATGAAAAAGGGTACTTCTAAATCGGCTAGGAAAATAAAAGAACTTCGTCTAGCTATTGATACAACCAGAAATGCTCCATCTGTTGACTGGGAGGCAATTAAAAGGCTTGAATAATCGTTATCATCTTTCTATCTTCAAGAAGAGATTTATTGGAAACAAAAATCTAGAATTACGTATCTTCAGGAAGGGGAGTCTAATACTCATTTCTTTCATACCATTACAAACCAGAAGAGAAGGTTGAACACAATTCTCTACCTCAAGGATGATAATGGCTTACTTAATTTAGAGGAAGGAGCTAAAGCCAATGTGGCAGTTACATACTTTATGGGACTCTTTCTATCTAATCAACCTTTAGTCCATGATTTCATATTGAGTTTGGGTCTCCAGAAGAAAGTGAATGATTATATTAATACTTGCCTTTCTGCAATAGTTACAAGAAAAGAGATAAAAGATGCTACTTTCTCGATCGGCTCTTATCAATCCCCGGGGATAGATGGGTTTACTTGTATCTTCTTTCAAGCATTTTGGGATGTGGTTGGGGAATCCCTATGCGATGCTGCCCTCTCCTTCTTTCACACGGGGAGATTGTTGCATAACTTTAATCATACGCTGATCACGCTTATACCCAAGACTCCAAATGCTGAAACCATGAAACAAATGAGACCTATAGGACTCTGCCAAGTATTCTACAAGATCATCGCTAAAATTCTAGCAGATAGGCTGAGTTGTTTCCTTCCTCTCATTGTGGTCCCTAACCAAAACGGCTTCGTGAAAGATAGATCTATAACAGACAATATTCTAATTGGACAAGAGGTGATGCAATTTCTCAAAACCAAAACACAAGGCAAGGAAAAATGGATGGCTTTAAAGCTAGACATGGAAAAGGCTTATGACAGAGTTGAATGGCCTCTCTTGTTTGAGTTACTTAAGGACCTAGGATTTGGAGATAAATGGCTCAAATGGCTAAAGTCATGCGTGACAACTATATCATTCTCTATTGTCCTAAACGGGTCTATCCATGGATACTTCCATCCTCAAAGAGGCTTATGCCAAGGGGACCCTCTCTCCCCCCTCTTATTCGCTATATACACAGAAGCTTTCTCATCCCTTATAGAGAATTCCATTAGAAACTCTAGCCTTCACGGGTTACGTATTCATAGAGAAGCTCCACTGATCTCCCACTTATTCTTTGCGGATGATTCCTATCTATTCCTCCGTGCCTCCTCTACTGAATGTGCCCGTCTAATTGAAATACTTCATGAATATGAAGTGGTGAGTGGGCAACGAGTTAATCTCCAGAAATCAGCTGTTACATTTAGTGCAAATGTCTTAGACTTAAAAGCTACTCGTCTAGCTGGCTTACTTGATGTGTCTACAATTGGAGTTCATGATAGATATCTTGGACTTCCATCTCAGGTTCATAGATCTAAAATCCAAACCTTTAGGTATATTGAAGACTTTTTAGCAACCCGAATATGCCATTGGAAATATAAAAAAAATATGTCTTTAGCTGCCAAAGAAGTAGTCATTAAAGCAGTTGGGACAACAACTCCTATCTTTGCTATGTCCTGCTTTAGACTCACTTCTGACTTGTGTAGAAGGATGAACGGGCAACTCTCCACTTTTTGGTGGGCAGGTCAAGACAAAGAAAAAGGTATCCATTGGTTATCATGGTCTGAATGTTGTTTCAGCAAATTTGAAGGAGGATTGGGATTTAGAGACTTTGATAGGTTCAATGTAGCAATGCTAGCCAAGCAAGCTTGGAGACTTATCTGCGAACCGGAGAGTATCCTTGCCAGAATTTATAAGGCAAGATATCATTTCACTGATCATTTCCTCCTAGCCTGTCAGGGGGCCCACCCCTCTTGGGCTTGGCAAGGTATCTTGCAGGGTAGAGATCTATTGAGTAAAGGTCTTCGTTGGCAAGTAGGATCAGGATCTAGGATAAACACCTTACTAGACCTTTGGCTACCAACAGACCCTCCATCTAGCCCTGTGTTGTTAATTGGCGCCTCACTAGATCATCCTATGGTCTCATTTCTTCTGGATTCCAATGCCATGGAGTGGAAACTAGACTTGCTCAAAACCTTATTTCATATTGTCACGATCGAAAAAATCTTATCCATCCCTCTCCCATCTTCCCCCCAAGAAGATAAATTGATTTGGCACTATGACAAGTCTGGTCACTATACAGTTAAATCGGGGTACCACCTCCTTTCGGCTGGTTTAACTTCACCTATGAACTCCCTTCTAGAATTTTTGAACACCAAGTTCTGGAAATTCATGTGGAATATTCCAATACCTCCTAAACTCAAATTCTTTCTTTTGAGATTGGTGCGTGGATTTCTACCAGTTAAAGGAATCCTCTTTTATAAGAAAATTATTTCATCAAGTATATGTCCGGTTTGCTGCGAGGTAAATGAAGACTTCAAGCACTGCTTCTTCGACTGTAGAATCACTAGAGAACTGTGGACATTAACTGACCTTGACCATATAAGAGATATGATGAGGGCAAGTTCTATGGATCTTGCGTGGAGGATCCTATTTTTCACGCACCATATCTCCAAGAATGACGTAGCTTTCATTGTCTTCTTATTCTGGAGAATATGGAAAGATCGATGCAAGGCTACCTATGGACACGTTTTATACAAGTCACATGTTCTATACAGGAAACTATTAGTGCCGGTGGAGGAATGGAGAATGGCAGAGGCACAGAAGGTTCAGAGTTTCGAAGAAGTCCGAAGGTCAATTCCCCACTCTTCCACAGGCCAAGATTCTCTTTCAAGGAGAACAGATGTTTCCTTCCCTAGTGAAGGTATCCTAGTTCGTTTTGACGGGGCAACAAAAATCTCTCAAGGATGTTCAACTGGCTTCGTCGGCTTTTCAGGTGATGGAAATATCACATTTGCAGTTGGTAAATTCTATCAGGGCATCACAGATGCATATATATCAGAATTACTTGCTATTCGTGATGCTATGAAATGGTGTCTCACCCACAACTTCTTGACTGTTGCTTTTTGTCGGGACTCTCAATTGGTCATCAAGGATGTGACATCAAAGAAGGCTTCACATTCAAGAGCGGGAGTCATACTAGAGTAAGTTCACTCTCTCCTTCCCTCCTTCCTTTCAGTCTCGTGTCTTTTTGCTCCTCGGAGCTTCAACAAAACTGCTCACCTCGTGGCAAAACATGCTCTTTTATCGGGAGTCCGGTTGCATACGGACTACCGTTCCTTTTTAGTGTCTTTCTTGTAATTGTGTTGACCGGCCATGCCCTGGGGGCTTATCTTGGATAAAAAAAACAAAATAGGAACACGAAGAAGAGAAAGTGACAAATCATGCAAAAAGTGTGTCGGATCAGGTGGTTTGGATGATGAATTACAGTAATGAAGCAATTTGAATATTTGATTCCATAGTTTCGAAATTATTTCATCTCATAATTAATATGTTATTTTGAAATACTTTTCCTCCCTTTGTCAATTCAAATTGATGCAAATGAAGCAATTAAAATTGTCATTAAATTAATAAATTATAAATTATTTAATAAATATTATGAAGTAATAGTTTTACGGTCCCGAGTCCCGAGTATATTAATTTATTGAGGTTTTACTATATCTATTTATTATATGAACCATTAGATCTCTCTTTTCAAATTTCAACCATTGAATCTTATTTTATATCTTATTTTATAGTACTACTGAGTTTGTAATCTAACATATTCCATTTCCGGCTCTTAATAAAAGAGTAAATTCAACATATTTATCATAGTCTCATGACTAACCGGCCGCTTGGTTTATTCTACAAGTCCATCGAAAATGTACGCCATGTGAGTGACTATACAAGTACGATGACTTTAGAAGTAATCACAAGTGACAAATTGCCATAGTAATATCCTTGTAAACAAGGTTTTAGAGAGAAGAATGGACCATGGGAGATACATAAAAAAGTGTGATTGATAAATTGGGAATGAATATGATAATTGTGGATGTGATTTGTAAGACTAATGGGCAAAGTCATATGTCGTCGTTCTCTTCAACTATGTGAATATGATTTTAAGATCAAAATTTGTGTGCCTCTTTTGGAAAGTCATCATAATATTTTCTAAATGTCATATCTTAAACAAATTTCCATCTATCTATTACTGCAAGTATAAATTTCAACTCGATGTTTGTTGTTTCACTTTTGGTAAAAGTCTTTATTATTTTCGGTGGAAGTTTCTTTTATGACGGAAACCTCAGTTAATTGAATTAGAGTTAGGTATTTTAGTTAAAGGTCACATAGCCCAACTGGTAAAACTCTTGAGAGACCCTTAATCAGGAAGTATGAGGTTTTGTGTTCGACCCACTTTGAAGTCAGTTGTGATGTTCCCGGAGGCACCAAAAAGAGATCTTAATGGAGGCTGCAAATGACTCAAGCAAGTAAATCTCCAGATTTGGTCTCACTCCACCATGTGTGCGTGAGGACTGAGAATGTTCCTGGATTATTAAAAAAAGTTGGTATTTTAGAATGATGAATTAGTTTGATTTTAATCAATTGGTCTGGAAGAAAATAGAATGCCCTAAGAGAAAAGTACATATCATCTACAATAGTTGTTTGCTAACAATAGTATTAGTAGAACCTTACTGTACTACCATTATAAATTATGGTATTATTACTTTTTAGTATCGTAGCTCAAAATTCGATTCTATGGCTAATATGCATGAATCGACAGTTCCCTGAAAAGAGAAATATGGAGCTGAAGGTGAGATATTTCCATTTTTAGGCTTAATCATTTCATTTCAATATTTAATCATGGATGTGAGATGAGGATTAAAATTAAAGAAAATGGATATTGCTAGATTCTAAGGACTAAAATCTCATCAAAATAAATTATGATTTCACCAAAATATTTGAAAATTAGCTTTGACCCGATCTGTTGATCGAATTATTTGATATTAGAGAATGTGTAAATATTTTCTACATAAATAAAAAATTTTAAATCATAAAATTATACGCATTTGGATAAATAAGCTTCTACATGTGACAAACCACCAATGTTAAAAAACTCAATAAATTGACTCAGCGCTCGACTTTGACTACACGATAACAGAATACATTTCAACCAACTACCACTAATGTCACAAATAATATGTATACTTCTAAATCACAGATAAAAGTTTTCAAATATTATGAATATATTAATTATTATAACGTTAAAAAAAAACTCACCCTACACCAACGGAGTGAATACGAAGTTAGTTTATACATTAACCCGTTTTACTTATCAAAGAGTCAAAATGCATAATTATGTTCATCTCACTCATTTCTGGGTAATTATCAATTATAAAACAAAACTCATCTAACTATTAGAGTGAGTATAAAGTTAGTTCATACCTTAAATTGTTTATTTATCTAAAGAATTAAAAAGTATAATCGTGTTCATCTTCACTCATTTGTATGTCTTGCTCTACAAATTCATTAACACATCCAAAAATGGTGAAATAGACGAATACATCAAACCCAATCTTGTCTCATGATTGTTGAGTCCAGTCACGATGAATTCGCAAAAGGCTTAAGGTTCCTCGATTGCCCAAGCCAAAACGTTCAGAAAATTGGTCGCTTATACTTTGCACCATGGTCGATGAAATCGTACTGTACCGACGGTTCAACCACGAAATACCAGTATCGAAGGCTAAATCGGTAGGCGATATTTAACTGTTGAACTACAGTTAAACCATGATTTTACCATAACATACCCTACCACTGACTTTCCCGATACAGTTTCATGGACCATGCTTTGCACAAAATATCATTGCTTCATGGCAGTTCTGAAACTTGATGCTAATTTAAGAATTTTAAGTCGCTTCAACATATTTATTATTGTAATTTGATATGTAATATTCAAACCAATGATATTTAGGTCACAATTCTAAGACTATTCTCCATTTATAAATACATAAAAATTTAAATTAACGGTTAAACTCTGACTAAAATCATCAAAATATGAAAAATAGAAGTATCAAACACCAAAGAAATACTTACGGGAGACTTAGTGGGTTAGCTTCCGTGATGGAGAAGTTCTCTGATTTTCGAATTTTAGTTTTATATATGTTTTTAATTTAAAATGATACATTAAATTTATTTAGTTTATTTAATTATAATATTTTATATTTGGAGAGAATTTGGCTAAAATGCAAAAACTAATTTTTTTATATAAGAAAATATAACTATGAAGATAAAAATGTTCTTTTTAGTTGCACTCTCATAATGGGAAAATATGAAATGGAGCAACCGATTTCTCATTCCACCATATAGTGTAGAGAGGTATGTAATCATCTTCATCTGAACTGACTTTAATTAACTGATTGAACCAAATAATAATATAGCCAATAATCCACAAATGTATAGATCTGTCAATGGAGTAGTGATGTAGAATTGTAGATTTGGGACTAAGAACAGAGCTCCAAATGTCATTATGGGGGCGACCCATGCGCAGGAAAAGGACCAGGAAACCGGTGTGCCTGTTGTTGTTCGACGCCCTTATGCCTTATCCTCCTACTTGAAGACTAATAATATTAGCAAAAAAAAAAAAAAAGACTAATAATAATATTATTATTATTTTCTATAAAACTTGGAGAATAAAATGGTGCTCACTTTAGGAATAGAAAGTTGGTAACAATTTCCTGAACAATATGATTAGATTAGATGACAGCTACTGCACTGGAAACTTCCTGGTTTCAGGATTATCCGGCTGTTAATTTCTTGATTAATTTATATGTCAAGAAAGTCAAGTTGCACTCAAACTAAACATTCTCATTTTCGCTCCAGTGGTAGGGGACCTGTAACTAACAAAGTAATCGGAGTCTGAACAGATAGATTATTAAGTGGAAATGAGACAGATTTAGGAACTATTAGTGTTCAAGAAGACGCGATTAATCTCTCGCCTAGGCGCGATTAATAGCTGGACAGGAGGAAATCGCTCCGTCTAGCTCTGGGCGATTGATCTAAGCACCTAGGCACTCGGAGGCACGTTTTCACTCTGGTGGGCGACTCCCAGAGCAACTAATAAAGGGGAAAAGTATAGCCTTTTTGTAAAAATCTCTAACCCTATTTTATTTTCCATTTCCATTCAACCTGTCGCTCCACCTCATCGACCAACAGTGAGATCCATCCTCATGGTTGGCGACTTGGGATGTTTGGGATTGTGGAAAAGAGGTGTATGTGAATATGAATGGACGGATAATGATATTGCGACTTGGGTTTTTTGGAATATGACTTATTTATCATATTATTTTTCAACGTTTAATCTCGCCTAGGCAACAATTAATCGACCTGAACGCTGGGTAGTGCCTCCTCGCTTTGATAGCTCCTAGCGTCTTCTTGACATTGGGAACCATCAATGCAATCTATAAATAACCCTCCCTCCCTTTGTCATCATTCATCAAGACACCAATCTCCAACACAAATCCATCATTTACAAAACTAATAACCACAAAGCTTTCACTAATGGAAGCATCCTTCTTCTCACTGTTGTCCAAAACACCATCACAGTTATTCAGAAACTTCCAAGCCCTGATACTCCTCATCTCTATCATTCTCTTGCTGTGGCCCTCATCTTCTTCCCTTTCTGTAGTAGCAGCAGCAGCAGCAGCAGCAGTAAATCTAGAAGCAGAGGCTCTTCTGACATGGAAAGCCACTCTACAGAACCAGCACCAATTCAACTACCACCCTCTCTCTTCGTGGTCTGCACAAACCAGCCCTTGTGCTTGGTTCGGCATCTTCTGCAATAGTCAGGGGAGCATTGCCAATATAACTCTTGTGGGTACTGGTCTCAAAGCTACCCTTGAAGTCTTCAGTTTCTCGTCGTTCCCAAACCTTGTCTCCCTCAACTTACAAAACAACTCCCTTTATGGTCCCATTCCTTGCCATATCGCAAACCTATCCAAACTTTCCTTCCTTGATCTGTCTCTCAATGGTTTCTATGGTAGCATCCCTTCCGAGATTGGTTCATTAGTGAGATTGAGCTCACTTTCATTCTCTACCAACAACCTCAATGGTTCAATCCCAACTTCCTTTGCTAACCTGACACAGCTATTGTCTCTTGGTTTGGATAGAAACCAATTGAGCGGGTACATTCCCCAAGAAATTGGCAAGCTCGCATCTTTGACCACCCTCGACTTTACCCTCAACAAGATTACTGGTCCAATCCAAGCAGGGATCGGGAATCTGACAAACTTGTCAATCTTGCGTCTTGGCTGGAACAATCTTTATGGTCCCATTCCTGAAGAGCTTGGTCTTTTGAGAGGTCTTGTAAAGCTGGACTTGTCGACTAATAATCTCACTGGCGAAATTCCAGCTTATTTAGGGAACCTGACACTGCTCGACAATCTTTTCCTTTCTTCAAACAAGCTTTCTGGGAATATTCCAAGCGAGCTGGGAAAGTTGACCTCGCTGAGTGACTTTCAGCTATACACCAATCGCCTGACAGGCCCCATTCCGCCTTCTATTGGTAACCTGTCGAGATTGAATATGCTGGCTTTTTCAGGAAACCAACTTTCTGGTTCCATTCCTGAAGAAATTGGGATGATGAGATCTCTCATTGTCATCAACTTGAACACCAACGTTCTCACTGGCTCTATCCCTGCATCAATTGCAAACATTCCCAACATTTCTTACATCGGCTTTGCAGGCAACAGACTTTCCGGAATTGTGCCTGTAGAGTTCAGTAATCTCACATTTCTTCAAGGTTTCGATGTTCCTGCCAACAAACTCACAGGCTCTCTTCCTCCTGATATTTGCATAGGCGGGGTCCTGAAAGTTTTCACTGCTTACAACAACTCTCTCACAGGTCCTATTCCCAGAAGCTTGAAGAATTGCAGCACTTTGACAAGGCTTAGGCTTGAAAAGAACCAACTCACAGGAAACATATCACAAGATCTTGGTGTTTACCCTGATTTGAACTACGCAGACTTGAGCGACAACAAGTTACAAGGCGAACTCCGATCATGGAACTGGGGGAGTTTGTACAACTTGTCAACATTGAAGATCGCCAGGAACAATATCTCCGGGGAAATACCCGCAGAGGTCGGGAAAGCACCACATCTGAACTTACTGGACCTCTCTTCCAACCGCCTGACCGGATTGATCCCCGGGGAACTCAACCAATTGAGGTTGTACAGCCTTTCCCTCAATGGAAATCTGCTTTACGGTCACCTCCCACCGAGATTGGGGAATCTTTCGTACCTTGAATATCTCAACCTGGCAGCTAACAATCTCAACAGTTCAATTCCAAATGAGCTGGGCAACTGCACCAAACTACTGTCGTTGAATCTCAGCATGAACCAGTTGACGGGCTTTGTTCCTCCAGAGATTGGAGATCTGAAAGCTCTCATGAGTCTCGACCTTAGCCACAACTTTCTCACCGCAGATATTCCCCGAGAGATTGGAGGCTTGCTGTTCTTGGAGACTCTGAATCTCTCCCACAACTCATTCGTAGGTTCCATCCCTCCTGGCCTTGGCAATGTGTTGAGCCTAAGAGATGTGAATGTGTCCTATAATCAACTAGAAGGCCCAATTCCAGACATGGAAGCCTTCCGACGAGCTCCATTCGAAGCGCTGAGAAACAACAGAGATCTCTGCGGCAACAACTCCGTTCTAAACCCTTGTCCGGTCGACAAACCCACAGCAAAAGCGGGCAAGCAATCCGATGCGAGCATAATCGTTTTCCCTATCTTAGGGGGCGTGATTCTACTGATTTCACTGGCGACAGTCGCCGCGTTCTTCGTTTATCGAAGTATCAAAGCCAGAAAGGCCAGTACGGGAAACGAATACTTACAGGTCTTCGCGATCTGGACCGACGAGGCGGCATTGACGTACGAGAGCATCATTCAGGCCACAGAATCGTTCGACTCCAGGCACCAGATAGGGTCGGGGTCGAGCGGGTCGGTATACAAAGCGGCGCTACAGTCGACCACCAAACAGAACCAGGTCGTGTCCGTGAAGAAACTCCACGATCAATCCGGAGAAGGAGTCGAGAGATTGAAGGCGAATTGGAGGGCGTTCAGGAGCGAGATTCGGGCGCTGACGAACATCAAGCATCGGAACATTGTGAAGCTGTACGGGTTCTACTCGAATGCCCAGCACTCGCTTCTGGTGTACGAGTTCATGGAGAGAGGGAGCCTGCGGAGCGTTTTGGACGATGCAGAGAAGGCCAAGGAGTTGGATTGGGAGGATCGGGTGAAGATTGTGAAAGGGATTGCGAGCGCGCTGTCGTATATGCACCATGACTGCCGTCCGCCGATTGTTCACAGAGACATTTCGTCGAACAATGTGCTGCTGGATTTGGATTTCGAGGCCAAGCTCTCTGATTTCGGCACGGCGCGGCTCCTGAGGCCCGACGACAGGGTTTCCACGACCTCGTTTGCTGGCACTTATGGCTATATGGCTCCAGGTATCATTTTTCATTTCTTCCTTTCCTTCTACGTGTCCATTGGTATTATCCTCCGCAGTCCAGTTCGCATAAATTAACATACCGTTTCGTATAGGTATGATAATTTCGACCTGACCCGTTTTATCCGACCTGTTTAACCTGTTTTGAAGTGGAAACGAACCAACCAGTAGGCGGGGCGGACATGGGTAGTCTCATCGACCTGACCTGCCCTGACCCGCCCTATTTTCGACTTGTTCTTGCATAAATTACATGTAATCTTAGTCAAATTACTTAGGAATTTTCTTTTATTACACCCAATTTTAGCTATAATAAAGTTGTAAATTAGAGAAAACGTCAATTTCTCCAATAATTTGCTATATTTATCTTAATATTATTTGTTTTCTTGGTCTTATACTAAAAATAAAGAATATTTCTAATGTTTTTTTTTATGTAAATATACCCATTGGGTCGACCTGCCCCGACCCGCGACCCGTCATAAATTACTTAACATGGACCCGACCTGCCACGGGGCGGGTCTGGGTACCAAGAAACCCGCCCCGGACATGCCCCATTGCATTCCTAGTTTCGTATAAATGATTTCCATAATCATTTTGAATGAAACATTTTTGTGTTTCGTATTTAAAATAATTCATTTTCAATTCTAAATTTTCAATTCTATGGAATTGGAATTAGTTACAGCAATTCCGAGGAATTGAGATGGAATTTTGAAATGAATTCCACAAGTATTTACTGATTATATTAGAATGACATAATTATCCTCTTTTATTAACTAAATTACTTATACATATGACATACCAAACACATATCTATTTCACAATGAATTCAACACGACAATTCATTTTATTTTCAAAGATTTGAATATGACATATCAAACATAAGATTTCATTTGATAATAAATTATATTGGGTAATTCATTTTACTGTCCCCTGTAGAGATAGCTTCCTTCGATTTTGTAGGGTGGCTTCACTAATTGTTGATTTGGAGTCCTGGGTAGAGAATATAACTATTGTACTTTGATATTACTTGAAAAAAAAATTCATTTTACAATGAATTGAATTCTCGATTCATTTGGTACCAAACGGTCTGTAAGGGGGTAAAGAAAATACAGAGCCACACCTAGCAAAGTAGCAATGGCAACCGCCAACCAGCTCCTGTGACATCCGCGATTATATATGGTTTTGAAATCATAACGATGCTCGAAATCACATGTAATTTGTAAGTAGGCGGAGACGTGAAATAGCGTCTTAAAACCGTGATTCAATTAAAACACATTTGCACCTTTTTCGAATAAGCATATACAAAATTTCTATACAAAGTGAATTTTTTTCTTAGAATGTCAATGTTACTTTAAGTTTTCTTTTCAAGATATTGTTTGTAAAAGTGAGAAAATGAGCAAGTATTTTGTCTAAGAGATAATTATGGTACTTGAGGGATATGAATGACTAAAGTGTTGAAGTTAGTGAGCCTAAAATATAGGTGCATATACGTGTAATACAAATCTGCATCAAACTCATTACCCTCTTTGTTTGGTTCGTGGAAACTCCACCAATAATAATATCAGTTGTATTTTCCCGACAAAATCGATCCTCTTATGATTTTGTTTTCCGTTTGTTTGATATCGTAGAGAGAGCTTATTCGAAGAAAGTGGACGAGAAATGGGATGTGTATGGCTTTGGAGTGGTGGCGTTGGAAGTGATAATGGGAAAGCATCCAGGAGACCTCATCTCGTCACTCACAACAACAACAGCAACAACAACATCATCGTCTTTTTCAAGTCCTCCTCATCCTACATTGTTGAAAGACATCATCGATGATCGAATCACGCAGCCTGGTGAGGATGGCGAAGTTGCAAAAGGAGTGTTTGCTATAGCAAAGTTTGCATTGGCTTGTGTCCGTGCTGAACCTAGCTCTCGACCAACTATGCAGGAAGTTACGATGGACATGGTTACTTTTGCGATTCCTCCGCTGACTCAACCCTTCTCCCACGTCTCACTGGAAGAATTGTTTGCCCTAGTTGACTAGGCTGCAAAAGTATAGGTATACGGTAAAAAAATATAAGATAAACTCCTCTAAAGTTGAGTTATACTAGGAAAGTAGATAATTGGCTCTTTGCTTCTCTTCTTTATATTCAAGTTTGTATGGACAATATTAGATATTTCTAAGCCATGAACAACATAAACCATAAACTTATTAGTTTAATGAGATTTCCAAATATTGAGGATATGGAGGAGTGTTTCGCGATGTTGATTTGCACTCTTGACTTCTGGAAACCAAAATGAATGTTACTTGGTTTACACCTCTAAACAGTGTTCGAACGAGGCTGGCTGATGTTTGGGGAATCAACATTAAATTATTTTGACTCTTATAGAGATTTTTTGGGAGCTCCACAACTACTGGCTAGTTCTTACAAGCTTTACTATCCCAACCGTGGCAAAGTGCAACCACGATCGGGTGCAATATAGTGGAAGTGAATTTTAATGATCAACCTCGGGAGGCAAATGTACTATTACTTCACGGGCTAACTCATTGTCTAGCAAATTGGAGTTTGAAGTAACTAATCAACTACAAAACTAAGCAAAGTAAAGTTGTTGAAAACTATCGAGAGAAAGTATGATATTGTTTCCCTGTAGTTGTAATAGTCTAAAGAATGACGTTCCAAGTTGTCGACTCATGATTTACACCGTTCAGAATCATGTTCCCGCTTGAGCTCCCTTTCAAGTTACTCAAACTCACCTAGAACAGACTATCCTAGTGAGAGTTTCCACATCTGACAAAATAGAACGTCTACGTGCCCAATAGATTCCCACTATTGGATGATGATTCAATTCGACATTGTAGCCCGATTTCTCTACCTGAGACTAATCACGGTTTCCATCACAATCTTGAGATTCACAACCAAGCCACGAGGTTAACTGAGTTTGCACCATTTTATTAACATACTCATGGTTTTGGTGCAATTCTTACAATTTGCAATCTTGATGGAGGAGAGCGAGCGGTTGCTTTGCTGCATCGTTCGACTCGGCGGAAGGGAAGGGCGGATCGCATTTAGGGTTACAAATCCCAACCTCCAAAATGTCGACGTTTCATCACTAGCAGGTAGCCGGATAAGTCCGGTCAGACCCCGATTTTGACCAATTTTGACCGACTTTGACCGGTTGCCCGCTATCTCAGAATATGCCTGGTGCTGCCCCCTTTTGTGCCCGATTCCGACCCAACCATGTCGAACCGGCCGTTCAGAGCCGAGTTTGACAACCTTGTTAGAAAAACTAGTTAAATTTGATCAGTAAAAAATTAACACCCTCACAACAAAATTATATTTCTCTCTGTACCTACTCTTTTTGTAAAAAAAAATCTTATTGAAGTCGAATGGGTAATGAATGACCTCTTATTCCCCAGATACCGTCATTGCTTCTTCTCCGGGAAAAGAAGTTCACGACCAACTCTTTTTTTATATATGATACATTATGAATGACATTTTTTGGTAAACTTTTCAAAATATGTAACAAATCATGAGTCATTATACAAATTTCATAAAAATAATCATATTTTTTTAGCTGGACACCCCTCATATAAAATTTTGGCTACTCCCATAAACTAGTGAACGGATACTAGTTATCAAGAGTCGCCTAGAAAATAGAAATAGGTGCGGCGTTGTCTGCATTGTGTGATGAAGTAGCATATGCGAACTCTTTTCTTTGGGTTGTGATGAATGAAATAAAAATTGATTAATAGAAGTATGAGATTTAAACAAATCATTAAATCTCATCCATCAAATTTGACCTCATTGAACATCAAGTGTACATATTCAATTATCACAAATGCGTAAGCAATGATTATTCACCTTACTCCAACTCGAATGGCCTACTTGGTGATTTGCGTTTTACAATAAATGATGATTGTGGAATAACCTTAGACGGGTAAAATGACGGTGGGATAATTTAGGTGTGGGCATTCGGTCGGTTCGGTTTCGACCAAACCAAAATTATGAATACCGGGTCCCCGAAGTCTTCCAAACTGAATTCGAACCGAATCATAATTCAGTTCGGACGGTTTAAACCAAATTATAATTCAGTTCGGTTCGGTTTTGCACACAAACCGAATTTGAGAGGTTACTTGTATCTTCTCACTTTAAACTATTTTTCACCCCTAATATAAACAATAATATGCAATTATATTCATCATCAATGATAAAATCAAACTTTTCAACACATAAGTCACAAAATATTTCAAATATTTAAGTATAAAAACAACTACAAACATAAAACTCCATCATTTGGAGCTTGCAATTATAGTATTTCGGTTTTTCGGTCGGAAATTCAGAAATTCGATTCGGTTCAAAGAACCCTGGTTTCCGAAATATCCATAATTTCCTACCGAATTCTGAACCGAATAACATTATTTTGGTTTTGGTTCGGTTTAATTCGGTTTCGGTTTGGTTCGGGTTTACCGAACCGGTTGCCCACCCCTATGGGATATGGTGGTGGGGATGAGATACATCACTTCCCCCGAGGGATGTGAGTTTACATCCAAGGGCAATTTGGGTATGACAAAAAAATAAAATTTATTAATTATTTTTTTGTATTAATTACACAATGAGAATTAAAAACCCATATTAAATACATTTTTTTAAAAATTTAAATCCTACAATTTTCCAGTAGCCTCTTGCGCTTCGATCGCCAAACTTTCTCCGACCGGCAGACTTGTTCCCGGTGAAATCCTCCAATCAGACTTGCTCTGGCGATCTGCAAAAAAATCACTCCGTCAGTGCGCTAGTGGTACTGATTTTCGTCCATTGGTATGCTATCAGTGGTAGTGGTACCAGCTGTAGTGGTAGTGTGGTACCGCTACCAGTGAGTAGTGGTACGCTACCAGTGATTAGTGGTACGCTACCAGTGATTAGTGGTACGCTCCCACTACCACTGGTAGCGTACGACTAGACAAAAATTAGTACCACTAGAGATTAACATAAAAAAATCAGATATGGAATCTGAAAAATCCCATATCCGAAGAAAAAAAAATTTAAGGGATGTGGAAATGAGAAGGCAGGGGAGAGGTCGTTACCTCTGCGGAGGCGACGACAGTAGATGAGGGCGACAGCTGAGGAGGAGACGACGGGAGAGATATGGCAACGACAGAGGGTGGAGGGAGGTGACGGGGCTGTGATGGGGAGAGCGGGATGGCGCGGCAGTGGTGGGAGGCGGAGGGGGCGACGGCTGCGACAGGAGGGAGAGATGGAGGCGACAGCGACATGGAAAGACGGAAGGGAGGGAGCGGCTAGGGTTCTACGGAGAGGGAAGAGAGGGAAGAGGGGAGAGATAGCGTGTGTGAGGAGTGAGTTATTATTTTTTTAATAAAAATAGATTATATAGAAAATGAGAAACGATGGTGCGTTGTAATATTTTTTTTCATTTAAAAAATATATTTCTTTTAATTCTAACCTTCAACTTGAAAAAAAAAAATACAAGATCGAACATATCCCATGGCTAAAAAGTGGATGGTCAAATTCACAACCCCTTGTATCCCATCCCGTGGTGGGGGTCGATTATATTAGTTGTTGCGGTCAGATTCCTTCATGAAAATTACACAAAAGTGCTGCTGCTTATGAATCACAAACACAAAGCCAGGAATGAACTTTTTTCCATAAAGCTAAAGAAAAGGGAAAGAAGGATGAAGGTAATTAGGGCACACCCGTCAAGGGCCCCAACTCAACAAAATGTCTAGTAATAGTTATGATGAATGATCAATCTAAGAGCCCACCACCCACCTTCTTTGGGATGGCTTTTGGCCTTTTTGCCCATTTTTTCCTTCTGTTCTATGCACCTATTCTACGTTGGCTTTTGGTCACCTTCCTCTTGTTGAATAGCCTTTTCCCCCAATCCATAATTTCACATGTTGGCTCTCGTTTAGCACCTATCAAGGTTGTCAAACCGGTTTATACCGTTGTGCTGGTTTAGCAAGTGGAATGGTATGACCGGTGGTATAACCAGTTTGTGCCGGTTCATGCCGGTTTTAAAAAAATGAAAATAATTAATATCCAATGTATTTAATCATATATAAAACATATTTGTGGACAATTTAGTTATAATCCAACAAATATCATCAACTTTTAACTATTAAATTCATAAAATGAATAATAAATTATTTTTTTACTAATTAAATTCATTAAAATGATAATATTATGCTTAGAATGCGTAAGTCGATCATACCGGTCATACCGGTAGTGTCATGCCGATTTCATGACCGGCACAGGTTCAATCAGGTTCAACCCGGTGGCATGCCACCTATCCCTCTCATCATCCCCTTTCAACCACTTGCTTTTACTTTCCAAAAATTTATAGTAATCTTTCGGGGGAAAAAAGCCAGTTAAAATCATTTTATTTTTGCTAGGAGAAAAATTACACCAATTAGTAAGGAGAAAAAAGAAGGAGCGAATCCCAAGCTTCTGCTTTTAAATGCCTCTTCACTGTTATTTGTTCGTCAATTACTATTCCTTCATCACTATTAGTTTTAATTTATCATTGTAATTTTTTAATAAGAAATTTTACAATGCTATATAGCACCGGTGCTATAGGTTTTTGCCTTTATGGTACAACTTGAAATTGTACCTTTAACGTTATGATACAACTTCAGATTGTACCTATACTTTTTGTACAAATTCTTTTATGGTACAACTTAAACTTGTACCTTATGTGATGGTACAACTTCTAGTTGTAAAGTTGTACCATAACCTAATGATACAAATTCATTTATGGTACAACCTAAATTTATACATTTAATGTTATGGTACAACTTCAAGTTGTACATTAAAGCACCAATACTATATAGCATAATAAGAGTGCTCTTTTTTAATTTGTTAAAGAAAAAGAAGATCAAAGTTGAAACTTGAAAGCCAAAATCAGAATGCCTGTCCAAGATTGCCGTTACATGTGGGCCAACACAGTGTTGGTAGAGTATTGGCCCACTACTTCTTTCGTGTGCATCTAACAGTGGGCTCATTTTTCTTTTCGGTGTGTGGAGCGGTCCAAATAAATTACGCGCCTTTGATTTTTTTTTTGGTTAAAGAGAATAAAGTAATCAAACAATGGACCTCTCTAACAAATGTTAGGATTGTTGAGATTTAGGGAAAAATGGTGTTTTGGTACAATTCGAATTTTAAAAAATCCTAAATTACGATGATTTGTAGTCGTTATTCTTATTATTGATTTAAAAGAGGTTATTGTTTGCTTATTGGATTTTGTTATGCACTTTATTTCATTAGATTTGTTTACATGATTGATCTTCAGCGTGGTACGTTTCATTTCGCACCTCGTGAGTATAATAGGACCGTCCAATCTGTGACAAAACGCCCTTGTATCATTAGATGGTACGTTAGTCAACCAATTTTTTTCTTCTTCTTTCCATTTTATGACCTGACCTGCAAAGTTCTTGTACATTTTTCGTATATATATTGTTTCCCCGCTGGAGATACCTATGACAAAAAAACATGCTCATACAATCCTTAGTACATTATTTTGCTTAAACATAACTGCAGTGTACTTCTTATAAAGGTAGCCCTGAGTTTAACTTAACTATCGGAACGAGCGACATCAATCATAACATACTTACATACATAAATGTGAGCTTCCAATTGACGGGATGACACAAAATAAACGTAGACTTTCCACCTGACGGGAAGTAAATGTAATTCCGTGCAATTTAAGCAACCGATCGGTGCTAGGGCTGAAACTAGGCCTTACCCGACAATGACCCTGTAAGAATCTTGTCTGACCCTATAGGGTCAATTTATAAAACAGGGTCGTCCCACCCTGCCTTTATTTCCTCATTGACCCTGTTTGACTCGCTCGAGCTGAGCTAGGTCAAACCATCAGGTTGGTCCTAATCGATCAATAACCTGGTTTTTAAAAAATTCCATTTTGGTACCCAATTTTTTTTCTTACAATTTGGTACCTAAACTATATCTTTTACAAATGGGTCCAGAAATATTGGGGTAAAATTATGTTTTTGTACCTTCATATTTTTTACTTGCATCATAGTACCAGAACTTTTAAAATTTTACAACATGTCAAGTCTTTTGGTATGATGAATTTCAAATCACTAGTTATTGCTATAGGTCAATAGATGGGTCATAGAACCAAAAAGTGTCCTGACCCTTCTCGACCCTTACAGGGTTAAAATATGACCCTGACCCTAAGTTGAACCTGTAGAGATTGTGCCGATCAGTGGGTATATAGAGCGAGCCTACATAACTTAACATAAAGTAACTGTGTGCTATCTAAGGAACTAACTTGTGCCCAACATAAGGTAACCACTTGCTATCTAAGCAACCGACGAATACCAACATGACTTAACATGAGTAAGAACTTCCACACAGTGGGAAGCAAGGTAGGCATATGTTGCTAGTCAAGCGGGTGATTAAAAATGAGTTCTTACTTGATATATTAGTATATCATTAAACATAAGTTTCTAAACTTGCTCAAAACGTAGCTTGTATTAGATTGATTTAAAACATAACCTTATGACGAAATGAAATACCACACGAACATTACTGAACATACATAAACTTAACCTCGTATGTTAATGTGAAGATGATGAAAAAAGTAAGTTAAGTAAATGAATTAATTAAATAAAATGGCTAACTAGCTTATTAAACTAGCAAATCCGCTAAAACGACCTAATAAACTTGTTACGCGTGCCTAATTTGGATGTAAGGTTGTCAGATCTTGTGGAACAATGCATCATCTTCTTGGACTTGACACCCCAATACTCACAAGAAAACAATTTTGAATAACAAACCAGAGTTGGATAATCAGCTACCTAGCTTTACCGTACCTAATTCCATAACAGGACCAATTTTGAAATACCATAACTCCATCCATTCATACATTATTATATATAAACTTGAATCCAAGTTATTGTTGCCTAATATTTTAGTTTTGGGCACCTATTTTTTTCAGTTTTACATTTATTACCATCGTATAATAATGAAAGGGTAAATTACAAGGTTGGTCACAGTAAGTGCTAAAAAGTTCACGTTTGGTCACTAAAAGTATTTTATTCCATTCGTGGTCACTAAAACTGGTTAAACGTTTCACGTTTGGTTACTCTCCGTTAATCACCGTCAGCCTCAGTTAACACCGTCACCATATTGCTGACGTGACACCATTTTTTTAACCCTCCACGTCATAAAACCCAACCCGCCACATCATACAACCTAACCAAACCCATAACTTGGTCGTTCCACATCGACCCACGCAACCACAAAATCCAATGTTCATCCTCATCCTTCCGCCGCCAAATCCCTTCCTCCTTCAATCCTCCAAACAGGTCAAGATCGAGATATTATCTAAATCCCTCCCCTACATCCACCGATTCGGGGGAACAATAATCACCGTCAAGTACGGCAACACCATCAGGAAAGAACTGAAACTTAAGGTCCTGGTGGTGGAGAAACCAGCGACTGAATCGCCGACTCCAGTTCTCGAGCAGGAGGTGGACGAGAAGGCCGATGAATCGAAGGAGGGGAGGAGCTTGTTGCAGTAGAAGCAAATTCTACCAAGGATTGTCCATTGAGATTCGAAAATGGGGAGTTCTCGAGCTCCCAGTCCTGGAAATAGATCCGAAATCCAAATTCAGAGGTTTTCCTCTCTATCTTTCTCATGGTAACATCTGAATCCCATCACCCCCATCCTTTTGTTCTTGTTCGTCCATTTATGAGTTTTGTTTGTGTGAAACATTGGATTTGGGAAATGGGGTTCGTTCTTTCTCATGGTTGAGAGACGATGGTCGATCGCAGGGAAGGTTGAGCGACCACTCTAGGAGGCGCCAGTCAGGAGGATAAGGAGTAGAACGACTTCAAGGTTGCGATGGTGGGAATAGGGGATGACAGGCGGCGGCGGTGGTGTTGGGGTCAGGTCGGGTTGATTTGGGTTGGGTTAGTAATTGAATTAGGTTGGGTTTTGTAAAGAGTCTGACGTGGCGGGTTAACAATGAGTGAATCAGCATTTCTGTTAACCATGTCAGCAAAATACTGACGGTGTTAAAGGAGACTAACGGTGATTAACGGAGAGTGACCAAATGTGAAATGTGTAACCACTTTCAGTGACCACAAATGAAATAAAATACTTTTAGTGACCAAACGTGAACAATTTAGCACTTCCAGTGACCAACCTTGCAATTTACCCAATAATATAACTTGAATCCAAGTTACTGTTGCCTAAAATTTTAGTTTTGATCATTTATTTTTTAAGTTATACATTTATTACCATCATATAATAATAATATCAAATCAAAATGGGTTTTTATTGGGGTTGTGTTATTGGAGTAATGTGTTTCTTTTTTTTTTTTTGACTCTTTCTATATATTTTATTTTATAAAAAACTTGACTTTATGTATAATAATGTTATCATTAAAATGCAATATGGGTAGAGATGGTAACAAGTCGGAGTCAGATAATCTACAAATATATTATAGTAGAGTTGCCTAATTAGCTTATATGTGAGTATGCATACACAAGAAGGGACAAATCCACTTACTTGTATGCTTACATTAAGCTCCATCATCTTTCAAGTGGAAATATCCCACTACATATATCCCATCCCGCTAAATTCTCATTGTTGCCCTAATTGAGATAAAAAGATATGAACCCCTAATTAGCTTTATACGTGAGTATATATGCACAAGAATAGACGAACCCACTTACTCGTACGCTTACATTAAGCTCCATCATCTTTCAAGTGTGAATATCTCACTACATATATCATTTTACCCTAAACTCTCATTGTTCCCCTAATTGGAAGAAATGGATCTGAACCCCTAATTAGCTTTTGCGAACGCATGCATGCACAAGAATGGACAAACCCACTTACTCGTATGCTTATATATATTATGCTCCAACATCTTTCAAGCTCCATCATCTCCCCCCAAAAACTGACGATGAGGAAGTTTTTTCCCTACCTCATCGCTCTGTTGGCCGTGATGTCCATCATCGGAGTTGTAATTTCTTGGTTTTCCATTCTTCTCCTTTCCCTCCTCAATTCTTAGTCATAACGATAGAAGTGTACCGTCTGAGCGTCCTTCCCGACCCCCTCCATCACCCCATTATCTGAATCGACAGATTCTTCCAAGTCGGCCTCCTTGCCTGCAACCCCAATAATTTAATCACGACATTACTGAATTCTAGACATTATCAATAGTTAATCATGTGAGTGGAAGGAAAGATGATTGATGTACATGAGGTTCTTTGATATCAACCGGTTATTATTCCCTTGTGTATTAAGATGGCAAATTTCTATAATTTTAGTATGTGCTTAGTTGCTTATTTCAAAATATAAAGTATAAAATAATTGAATTCATAAGGAGCTTGGCACAGTTTAATAAAATAGAATATTATATTATTAGTTTTGTCTAGGCGCAATTGATGTGGAATTGCTAATAAGACAAATTAATAAAAATACACACAAACCTTCCAAAATTCAACACGTATACTTCCATACGAGCCACAAAAACGTAGATGTGACAAACAAGTAGTCATAAAATGTGTCTGCTACCTATAGAACGATGAGGAATATAACTTTGACAAGTTATATAACAATACTTATAGTATAACATAATGCTCTTCATACTATACTTATCCTCCAATTTTACGAGTACTATTATGTAATACTCTAGGTGTTAGTAGAAGGTATGGAAGATTCCCTTGGCTGAAATGTTTTGCTCTCCGAAGGTAGCATAAAAATGCATCGGCTCATAGTGGATGTTGTACTTCTTATCGGGGTTGCGAGTCATGAGGCCGACCTGGAAGAACGAGTTGATCCGGAGATCTACGTGTTGGATGGTGTATGGAAGGATGGTTAGCTGATACACGTCAACGATCAGTAGCCACGGTGCTGGAATCTAGAACCACGTCGAACCGGTAGACTTCAACGGCCAGAACGGTGAATGTATGGATGGTTGTGGCGACTAATGACAAAAACATGAGTTTATATGGCTGTGGCTGCCCCTGGCCGTGCTCTCCATGGCCCATCCTGCGTCCACACCTCGAACTCCAATACCACGTCACAGCTTAATTGGAAGATGTGCGTGCTGCTGGCGAAAGGCCCCGTGTTCCACTTGAGACTCCCGCTCCCGGAGGAAGATCATCACGTCGTAGCTGTCTTCGGGCTGGTAGAAGCCGTGGACTGTGCCCTCCATGGTGAGGTTCTGCTCCTCGAAGGTGGCGTAAACCCCCATTGGGTTGTGGCTCGCTCATGACCTTTTGTTGCGGTTGATGGCAAGGAGCTTGAGCTGCAAGAAATAGCAATCTCACGGGTTATTCTCGAACAAAATTTGTCTCTTCTTCTTTGCATGCAACTCTTGCTTGCTTATCTGCCATCCATGAATATCGACAGGCGTGCAAAAGGAAAGAGAAAGGAAGGGTTTCTTTTCGACATAAGAATGGAGGGAAAGAGATGAAGGGTGACAGGAAAATGAAGAGATAGCCGCTATGACATAGCTAACTGGGGACCCGCTCACTCCAATGACAAATATGTAAAACTTAACAAAAAAGTAGGGGTAATTTCAAAAATTTGAACATATGTCATTCCATAGACACTTCGGGGTTAGAACTCCCCTTTTTAATATAGGTACTAATTAGAGAGCACAGCCCGCGACCCACGCTTTTGCTGTTACGGCTTTGACTCATCATATGCGAGATACACTTGTCATTAATTCATTCTATAATTTAACTTCATTAGGACTCTATGTCTCTATCCTTTGGCCGAACAAATGGAACTGTTTTATGTACATATATGGATATGAGTAACGGTTAGCTCATTGGTCTGGTCGAATAAGTGGGTTGAGGGTTAATGATCCAATCGTTTTAGTCCGATTTAGTATGCATATACGAAAAAAATAATTTTTATAGTTCATACATATTTAAATTATATTAAATATCATCGAACATTGGAAAAAAAAGAACATTATACCATAATAACAAGTCATATTTGGTGCAAGTAAGCATCAGACAGAATATCAATCCATACACATACCTGATAAGGTTTCAGGTATCCATGGATAAAGCTAACAACTCTTCATATACCGACATTAAATAAGTGACATATCACAATAATAAATTACTGAAATGAAGAAACTTAGTGAGAAAAATACAATTTCATGAAAATGTTATATATGCATGAAGTATGTTAAGAAAAATAATGATAATTTTTAAACAAAATACATATGCACGTGTATAATCAGACAGTACGCAAGTGCTAATGACAATGGTTGACACAATCCTCTAATTTTTTTGGGCTTACCCCATGGGGCTGGTTTTACAATGCGAAGCTTTTAGAAAAGCGTATGTGTCACATATGTTTTGAAGCCCAACCCATGATTTTTTGGAATTTTATATATTTTTAAGCGAGCGAATAGAGTACAAAACTTCGGTCTGCAAAACCCGGTCGTATCATCATCTCACGATTCATGACATCGTGATACGATGATACAATACATCTAACTAACCTGTAAAATTCCATCTTATCGTAAAGCTAATTGACCATTTTGGATGAAAAATAAATGATATAGTTGTTTTGTTATATCTTGATACTTATTCTAACATTTTTGTTACATTTTAAATATTTGGGATTATTTTATTACTGACCCTAATATATGTGAACACTTTGACAATAACAAAAAAATATTACATTTTAAATGTTTGGGATCATTTTATTACTGACCCTAATAATATATGTGAACACTTTGATAATAACATAAAAATGGTAGAACACTTCATCTCAATTAGGGATGGCAACAAAACCCGAACCCACGGTTACCCACCCGACCCAACCTGGTCAACGCGGGTAAAATCCATGTTGACGGGTTTTGGGCCGGGTTTGGGTTTAAACCCGTTCATTATTCACCGGTTGGGTTTGGGTTTAGGTAAACCCTGCCCATGGGTACCGGCCCATACCCATATAATTAATTTTCTCTGTATATTTAATATTCTAAACAACTAATCTTATTTATGTTTGTAGAGACATGTCTAATTTTTTCTTTTTAATTGTGTAGAATGAAGTTGATGTTATAGAGTGGAGAGTGAAGAAACTCAATTGAAAGGAAGAAGCTTTCAATTAATCATGTTATTTATGGATAATTTGTGATTTGCTTCAATTTTCTTGAGTTTTCTAGATTGGTGTTGAACAATTTGTATAGTTAATTTGTGATTTGCTTGAATTTTCTAGAATGGTGTTTTATATATGGATAATTTGTATTGAGAGATTGATATTTGACTTTAATTTTGATAAGAATTTGTTATTGTAAATTTTTTACGACAAAAACCCGTGGGTACCCATGAACCCGCGGATACCCAGGGGGTTGGGTTTGAATTTTTCAAACCCAGTGGGTTTTACCCCAAGTTTTTTTCACGAATAAACCCATGGGTTTGGGTTTGGCAAAACCCGACTCAACCCGACCCATTGCCATCCTTAATCTCAATCCCATTGTACATGATATAATTCCTACGTCCAGGACAAAGCAAGGATGACGGACGGGACTGCTTTTTCGTGGACTGGACAGGGCTGCAAGAGTCGGAAAGGAAAGAGAGAGGAGAGCTGTGCTGAGCAGTGTAGAAAATGAAGTTGTTTCTGCTGAACTGCAATTCCATCGCCATTAGTAATCTTCAGATAAAGCAAATAGGGTGGTAAAGGAGGAAGATAAAGTAGCAGCGGTAATGGTGGAGATGATGGGATGGGAATAAAGAAAAAATGATGGATGGAGTAATGATGGTGTCTGTTGCTGTGTGGGTGTTACGTAGCTGTCGAAACCACCAAAAAAAAAATAATACAACTTCACATTGCTTTGTAAAAAGTTTCCACTCTCCATTCCCCTGCATTCCCTTCCCTTCCCTTTCTCAACACCTAGTTGCATCCTCCAAAGAGAAAAAAGAAACAAACAGCAGCAAACCCAGAAACCAGAGAGAGGCGATCCACCCTTCCATCCAACCATGGCGGCCAACAAGTTCGCAACAATGCTCCACAGAAACACACCCAGAATCACAGTGGTGCTAATCTACGCCTTCCTTGAATGGATCCTCATCATTCTCCTCCTCCTAAACTCCTGCTTCTCCTTCCTCATCTCCAAATTCGCCTCCTACTTCGGCCTCCCCCCGCCTTGCCTCTGGTGCTCCCCTGCCATCTCCTCTTCCATCTCTCACACAGACCTCATCTGCGAATCACACGCCAAAGAGATTTCAACCCTCACCTTCTGCAACTCCCACCACCGCCTTGCAGACTCCCAGTCCATGTGCCTCCACTGCCTCGCTTCCGCTCCTCCTCGCTCCGCCTCCACTGCAGCACCCACCGTTGCTGCAGCCTTCAGTTTCATCTCCTGGGTTGCTGCCAATGGCGATCACGACAAGACCAAGAAGAAGGCTGATAATTGCCACCACCAGTGTTCCTGCTGTGGTGAGATCGTAGCACCCGATCTTTACCCTCCCCCGCCTTACTTGCTGCTCAATCCTTTAAAATGTGGGATTCAGGATGCTGCTGACGATATGAAGGGGGTCCATTTGATGCTTATGGGAATGGAAGCCAATGATGATGATGATGATGGCGATCGTGGAGATGGAGAGGCTGGTGCGAATGCTGACTGTTTCAGCAGCCTTGAAGATGGAACAGTTGAGGTTCTGAAAGAAACCAGGAATCGGGAACAACAAGGAGAGGCAGAGAGGCAGAGGTCTTGCATTGAGATGGAGTTTGTAAAACAGAATCAACCTTCTTCTGATGATCATGACAGGTTCATTGAGTACTGTTTTGGAGAAGATGATCCACTTGAAATCATGTCTCTTCATCACGTTCACCACGATTCCGGTTCCGGGTTTGATTCGTCCACTTCTTCTGCTTACCAAGTTGGATCATGCAAATCTCCGGGCCTGAAGCAGGAAATTCAGGGAGATGAAGCTCTAGTGGATGCAGAAGAGGAACACAAAGAGAAAATACACAGTGAGGAGGAAGAAGAAGCTGCAAGAAGTATCGAGATCTATGCTAGTACGGAAAAAAATGGCGAGAGATCATTAGCTGTGGATCTTGCAGAACCCACAACAACTGGTTTAGATGAAGATGCAAATACTCAAGGCTGGGAGATTCACAACTCTGAAGCTAAACAAGGCATCTTGCTGAATTGCGGTGACCAGCAACACGAGGCAGAAATCGAAGATATGGAACCAGTTGGAAAGCAAGAAGAAAACTCTACAGGTATGTAAACAACGGTTTCCTTTTTTTGAACCATTTTCTGCTGCTAGAATATCCATGACCATACTTTCCCCTGAAACAATTGCAGCCCAGGAAGGAATTGCAGAAGACACTGCAGTTACACTCAATAATGAGTTCGAGGAACTTCACACCCCCTCTTCAACTGAAGTTCAGGAAGAATCAACTCCATTGCCAAGCCAGATAGAAGAAAACGAAGAAGAAGAAGAATCTGAACCTGCAACTGCTCCTGAACAATCACATGTAACTAGCAATGGACTTGGCGAGCTGCTGCATTTCAACACTTCAGTTGAGAAGAATGATGCTCCTCAACAATCACATGTAAATAGCAATGGACTTGGCGAGCTGCTGCATTGCAACACTTCAATTGAGAAGAATGATGCTCCTCAACAATCACATGTAACTAGCAATGGACTTGGCGAGCTGCTGCAGTGCAACACTTCAATTGAGAAGAATGATGCTCCTCAACAATCACATGTAATCAGCAATGGACTTGCCGAGTTGCTGCTTTTCAACACTTCAGTTGAGAAGAGTGAAGAAGGAATTGGGAATCCTGATCAGGAAAGGCTTCCCGACACACCAAATTTCATGGACAACATTCAAAGCAACTTGCACAATAAGCTACTGATGATGTTCGAGAAAAGAGACTCGGGTGCGGAAGAGTCATTTGACGATGGAAGTGTGGTGAGTGAGATTGAGAATGGCGACCCGGTTCTCACCATAGAACGCCTGAGAACAGCTCTGAAGTCAGAGCAGAATGCACTGAATGCTTTATATACAGAGCTAGAGGAAGAGAGGAGTGCATCTGCAATCGCTGCAAACCAAACCATGGCAATGATAAACCGGCTTCAAGAAGAAAAGGCAGCAATGCAGATGGAGGCACTACAGTATCAGAGAATGATGGAGGAGCAGTCCGAGTACGATCAGGAGGCTTTACAGCTTCTGAACGATCTGATGATCAAGAGGGAAAAGGAGAAGCAGGAGCTCGAAAGAGAGTTGGAAGTTTACCGGAAAAGGGTTTTGGACTATGAAGCCAGAGAGGAACTGATAATGGTGAGAAGAAGAAGAAGCGAAGATGGCAGTTTAAGAAGTGTCAAATCTTCATCTACTTGCAACAATGGTGAGGATAGTGAGGAGTTATCATCAATTGATTTGAATCGTGAAGCAAGGGATGAGAGTGGAAGTATGAGCGAGAACCCAGAAAGCAGTAATGATCACAATAGTTATGGTGGTGGTGAAGACGAGAACATAAACTTGGAGGAAATAACAATGGACTGTGTGCACCATATGACTGCACTTGATGACTCATTGGCAGAGTTTGAGGATGAGAGGCTTTCAATTCTAGATCAGTTGAAGGTGTTGGAGGAGAAGCTGCTCAACCTGGGGGATAGTGATGAGCTGATGAATGATGTGAATTCGGTGAGGCAATCACTGAACTACAGCAGTGTCTCTCAACATGGGTTTGATGACAGCTACGATAACGAGTTGAGTACACCAGAAGAAGAGGATGGAGCCAAGGAAACCAAGCATTGCCCTGAGAGGAAAACGATGGCTTCGATGGCAAAGAGCCTCCTTCCTTTATTGGATGCTGCTGAGGAGGATGATGATGATAGAGAAGAAGAAGCAGAAGAAGGGCTGACGAATGAGAAGAAGAACGTGGAAATATCTGGGATGGATGGTGATTCTTCTTCAGTTGTTAGCAGATTTGGAGGGGAGAGCAAGACGCTAGCAATTGAGGATGAGGTAGATCATGTGTATGAGAGGCTGCAAGCTCTTGAAGCAGACCGGGAGTTTCTTAAACACTGTATGAGCTCAATTCAAAAGGGGGACAAAGGGATGGATCTTCTTCAAGAGATACTGCAGCATCTGCGTGATCTCAGAGCAGTGGAGTTTCGTGTCAAGAGTATGAGTGAAAGTCCTCTGAGTTGACTTGAGTACTGGAACTGTGAAATGCAGATGCTGCCCTTGGTCAAAGAGAAACAGCAGGGGAACCCCTAAAGCTAAACTGCAGGGCTGAAAGTTCCCAACGCCTCTGGTGGACCCGGCAATTTTGCCAAAAATGGCTGAAGGATCTCTCGTTGGGATGAGTGATTCAGGTCTAGTTTGCCACTCTTCACTGGTGAAGTGATCATCAGTCCGAAAACAGGACTTCTTGGATGTCCTGTGTTTGGGAGTCTCCTCTACTTCAAAAGACTGGAGTAGAAGAGCCTCCAACAATTTTGGAAGCTACTCGTCCACCTCCTCAGTCTAAGGAGGCTGAAAGGCTCTCTTATTTGTGTTGTAGACGAATCGAGGAAAAGGCTTACCCATGTTTCCAAGAGTGGCTGGGTGAACTAAACTCCCAGTAGTCCTCTGTTTTTTCTTCTTCCTTCCTTTTCACTTTGGGGGTTTCCTGATTTGGGATGGTTTATATGCTCTCACATGGGTTGGTTTATTGTATTTTGTAATGGAATTTTTATGTGGGGAGTTTGGTCGGTTGTTAGTTTGTAATATGAAATATCTGTTAGTTGCTGAAGACAAGATGATAACGCATAGTGAAATGAACCCAGAACTTTATTTGTGAACTTGGTTTGGAGATATGGTAATTTCACTCCTAAGTTCCGAACTGCCCCCGCACACTCTCAACACACAATGACATAAAGAGAGAGAATAACTCAAAGTGACTTCAGCAAATCACGGGTCTTAGAATTCCTTACTACCATATCAAACATGCGACTTCCATCATCCAATATGCACAAAACACAAACAGCAGAATACCTGGCTTAACTTTCACAAACTGAAGAGACTAAACCAAGCTGACAGAAGTACTTTTGCCTTTCCACTGATGAACAAGGGTGTCGTACTTACTCCACAGAGAACTCAAACAACATGCTGTGCTTGTATTTCTCTCCTGGTTGAACCACAATAGATGGGAAATTGGGTTGATTGATCGCGTTCGGGAAGCCTTGTGTCTCGAGACATAAGCCAGAGTGCTTTCCATACACAGCCCCTTCTTTTCCAGCAACACCATTCACATAATTAGCGGTATAGAACTGCACACCAGGAGCATCCGTCCACAAGTTCAACACCCTACCGCTTGAAGGTTCCTTCACCTTAGCTGCATGGTTCAACCCCGATTTCTCTTGACCAGAATACTCAAGCAGTACGTAGTTGTGATCGTACCCTATGCCAACTTCACCGATTGAGATTCCAACTTTTTTCTCTGATGTGAAGTCAAAGGGAGTGCCTTTAACTGGCAGAAGCTCTCCAGTTGGGATTGAGTTCTCATCGACCGGGGTAATTCTGGATGCCGACAACTGAACAAGATGGTCAAGGATGTTCCCAGATTTGTGCCCTCCCAAGTTCCAATATGTGTGCTGAGCTAGGCTAATCGGAGTTGGCTTGTTCTTAGTTACTGCTTCCATGTCCAGCCTCAGTGTGTTGGTTGAGGCCAGTGTGTAAGTGGCAGTTACAGTAACATCTCCGGGATATCCTGGAGAGACCAAGAAACTAGTTTAGGGACAATTGCAGGTACGAAAAATATAATAGTAGAAGCATGAGAAAAGAAAAGAAAAAAAAAAACAGTGCAAACCTTCCTCCCCATCACTACTTTCATACTTGAAGGTAATAGATGGTTGTTCACCATCTTTCTGCTCCACGACATCCCACACAACCTTGTCAAAACCCTTGTTCCCACCTGAGTAGCAGTGTACCAAAGACGGGATTTCACTCAATAAGGGCAATTATTGTTAATCAGTGGAAAGGATCACAAATCTAGACTAGAAACATCCAAATTCAGAAGGTTCTTTGAGACAGAATTTCACTCATTGTTGATTGCAAGAGGTTTCAGTTTGACACAAAACTGCAGCAGCAAGAAAAATAGATTGCAATACCGTGAAGACTGTTGGGGCCATTGTTGATCGGAAGAGAATAATCAGCACCATTGAGACTGAATTTCCCTTCTTTTATTCTGTTGGCGACTCGCCCAACTATGCACCCAAAATAACACGGGTTCCCCTCCTGCCAAAAATGGTAAAAGTGATTACTTTCTCGGGAACCAAACAAAAACCTTCAATCCAACTCAAAACGAAAACGGAGAGGGGGGGATCTCGCACTTGCCATGTATGTTTGGACGGAATCGAAGCCAAGCACAACGTCTGCAAGTTCGCCGTGTTTGTCAGGGACGAAGAGGGAGGTAATTGCGGCGCCATAGTTAGTGATGCTGACGCGAATGGTGCCATTGTTGAGGTGAAAAAGGCGCGGTTCCTTCAGCCGATCGCTCATGGTGAAGTTGCCAGAAGAATTGAAATCGACTCGGAGTTGAATCGGGACTCAATCGTTAGATCAAACGAATTTTATAGAGTTGGAATGGACGATAACCACCAAAGAGGAAATTGAACGATCCGACTGTCTACGTGTCAGTTGTCACACCTTCTTCTCCGTTGGATTTAACCTTTTGAATCTGGAGTTGGATTTGCTCTTCAACAAACTTCGTGCATAATTTTATCCGGGAGCGGAAGGATAGGTACAAAATCCAAAACTATACAGTTATACAAAACTCAGATTTAGAACCGTACATCAAGTCATCAACACGTAATTGAATGATTACAAGTTTTTCTTTTATAAGGGTGAAATTGATTAATTGCTTAGAAAAGCAATTACAGAAATAAGTGAAAAAGGAAAAACAAGAAGCATGTGGGATAGTCACAAAGTGGTGGGAAAGGTAACGTGAAGTAGGGATGGTAGTCAAACCCACGGTCGTGGGTATCCGTCCGTCTCCGATCGAGTTAACGTGGGGAATTTTCGTTTTGACCGGATATGGGAGAGGTATGGGTAAAACCCGCAAAAAGTTTGATGGGTATGAGGCAGGTATGGTTTTAGCCTCGGGTATGGGTAAAACCCACAAAAAGTTTGATGGGTATGGGGCATGTATGGTTTTAGCCTCCCCGCCCCATACCCGCTCCGCCAAAAGAATTTCTTCATATACACAAAAAGATGTTGATCAAATTGTAACCTCTCAATGATAGTGAAGGTAAGTAGAGAAAATAAATAGTAGAAATGTAATTGAGTGACCACCCTAATCAAAACTTAATTCATGTCTCTCAATTCTCCCTTCACTTTTTCACTTTCTCTCTTATCAACAAGGTATGTTAGTTAATTATTAATTAGTAGATCTATGAGAGTTAGAGCGTAATAATTTGAAAAATATTGTACTTATGTATTAATAGATGTTTTTGATCATATTCTTTGAACCTTATTAAGAAAATGATCGTGTTTGTCGACTTCATTATATAGTAGGTTCGTTTAGTGTTATAATTAAAAAAAATTATTGTAAAGTTTTAGGTATAATTATGTTGGATGTACGAGGCGGGTATTACCCATGGGTACCCGAAATCCACGGGTATGGGGATGGGTTTGCAAAACATTCCCCCACATGGGTATGGTGCGGGTATGGGTTTGGGTATTTGAAAACGGGGATGGGGATGGTTTAGGCAAACCCGCCCCATTGCTATCCCTATTGTGGAGCGAGAGCCAGAGCGTGAGAGCGTCTCTGTTAGAAGAACTAGAGTTGCGCCCGCCCGTTGGCCGGATAAATTATATCAATAGTATAAGCATTAACGTTTAGAAATGGGATAATCTTTTAACGATGGTATATTTTCACCTCATACAAATTATAAATATTATCAACCATTCACTCTTTCCTCCCATTATATATATTTCTATATCCACCATCTATAATCTCTTTCTTTATTTTAATAACGTCATTTTCCCCATCACTGAATTCATTAGCTCTGCATGTAGCATACTCTTCCTCCTTCTCCTGCTATTCTCCATCCTTCATTATCTTCAAAATTGTGTACCCATTTATGGGGTTTTGCAATGTTGTAATCAGTGAACTTGATCTAAAAAGTTAACTTCATGCTCTCGGTTTGTATGGCATAGGAGGCGAAGATTTACTTATTGTGTCACATCTTTGAGTAGTTTCTCAATAGACATTCCAAAAAATCTAGCTTCCTCACGATATAATAAAGTTAGATTAAACAAATGTTATCTACAACTCACATCTAATCCTGAATTTATAAAATAAAAACAATTGAGATACATTATTTGATAAAAAAAAACCTTTAAGTTTTAGTGGGTACGATGTTTTCTCTCTAATGAATGAACTTAAAGTTAAAAAGAACATAAGCGTAGAGGTAGATTGTTACTTAACTACTATTGTCTTTCATGTTGTTGTATAATTCATTATAGTCTTCTTCAACTTTTCTTTGTCAAGTTTCAACTAATATGGTTTTCTAAGCCATTTAAAATCAGAGTTAAAACGAATGAGATATTGTCCGCTAAATTTGCGAGAAATTGAAAATCCCTTAATAATAGATTTTGAGATTTGTGGCAGTCGCAACTAAAGTAGGTTATGTACCAAATTTTTGTCCCTTTTACGTGGCTATTTGAATATCGCAGTGGAACATATATTGTTTTGTCAATAAGATGATTCTCCAAGGTGAATATATTTTTGAGCCGCAGTTTCAATAAATATAGTACTCAATAATAATATGAATTAACTTAAAAATCAAAATAATACTAAGGAAGTTATAACATAACAACATAATATGTTGGTGTCAAAGAAAGTTTTTATAAGAATTATCATCGCACTAATATAGTTCTCTCACTACTATTTGATAAAAATCAAACAAAATTATGAAAAAAGAAAGCAAACGGAGTTGTTGGTTTGCCACTATGGCAAAAGAAAAATGTACATCGTAAACATAGATTTAAGATGTTACGATCTCATTATTTTTTATTGTTTCCCAAAAAAGAACCTAAAAATAAAATTATCTAGGTAATGATTTTAATCTTTAAACTTCTAGTCTCTAGATGGAGGCTGTGATCTCATTTCATCACTCTAAGCAAAAACCAAAAGAATCGAGGAAAATAATAATAATTAATTAAACTATCATTGATAATTATATTTATAAACCTACTCACCATTATCAATTTCATTGATAATTATATTCACATAAACGTCCTCGCCATTATTATTCTCACGAAATTTATAATTGAAAACTATTTAATTTGTTTAACTAATTTATTAAGAATTAGTTAATTAGCAAAGTCACAGATATAAGAATTTGTCTCAAACACTTACCTTTATAATAAAATAAAAATAAACTATATAGGCGCACACACAAACCTTGGACAAAATAGAAAAAACCATATTTCCTAATTAAAAACCATATTTCCATGATTCACATCAGTACCAACGAAAACAAATACACCCAAGTGAAAATCAAGGGTGAAAAAGAAAAGAAAGAAAAGCTAAATTAACAAACTTATGTTTTTCCTAATAATCTAGATAGTCCCCGACAACGGCGCCTAAAACTTGACTCGCTAAAACACAACTTCTAACAATGGCTAAGTGTAACCAATGAAAAGGACTGCAATATAGTGACACAAGTAATAAATATCGAATACACGGGTCTTTAGAGTTACTATTACTCAGCTTCAGTTCATTATCTAGCAAAAAAGATTAAGATAGAAAAACTATAACTACT